CCGAAGCCCTCCCCCCGAAGCCCTCCCCCCGAAGCCCTCCCCACTCACTTCTCCGTGTGGTAGTACAGGGCGTGCTGGGTGGCAAGGCCTCCACTGGATCCAGGCTCCCACTGGCATGTGAAGGTCTCCTTCTCCGGCGATCGGCAGCTGATGAGCCGGGGCTTCCCTGGGGGGCCTACACCTGGGGAGGGGGGAGAGAAGCAGCGGGTCGCGGTTCTGTTTGGGCGGGTCGATGATGAAACAGAACTCGGCATGAAAGAAACCCAGTTAGGATCTGCTCATGACTAGTTACAAGTTACAAGCAGAGTATGGGTGGTCCTGCTTTCTAGACCCATAATCAATAGCCTTTATTTCTGAATCAGTAACATTAGGCAATTTATTCATTAATAAGCGCTATGAAGTGGCAGCTATGGCTGGAATCCTCACGGTTACTCACTGGTTCCCTCAGGCCGCCCAGACAGGAGCAGGAGGAGCAGGATGGGTGTCAGTCTGCCGTAGGTCCGTCTCCACAGCAACACGGAGCCCTTCGCCATGCTGGCTGGGCTCTGGGAAAGGATCCGATGTCACAGAAAAGGGGGTGAATTCTGTGCCCTGACTGGGGGACCAGCTGACCCCACTGTTTCCAGTGGAAACATAAATTTTCAAGGAAAACAGTGCAGTGATGTATGCCAGCAAGAGGGCCCACCGCGCTCCACCATCGGGAAAGTCAGCCTAAATGCACCCAAGACAAATTAGGCCGCAATAAATCTCCTGCGACACATGCTCATACACGTTCCCACGCGCCTACCAGTATTTGCTGTACGCACTCTGCGTGACCTGCCCTTTATGGCTACGGCCACAGTACAGCAACACCACGAAAAGCCAAGAGGAAAGACTTTGAGATGAGGCCCAACGACAAAGACTAGCAACATCCAAAACCCGGGCCCCCTTTGGGTTTTCGACACCAGCCGCACCAGACTCTGCGCTTCAATCACTACAGCTTAGGTAACCATTACTGAGAAAAACGGAAAAATGCAGCACTTCTAAGGTGCACCCAGATAAGCGAGCTTGTCCAACAGGTTGGGAGCTTGTAAGCACTGACCTGGGATCAGGCCAGCCTTGAAAGGGAAGTGGCAGTGAGGGAAGGGGGGGGGGTTACTTATTATTGCGAGTGTACTGGTTATGAAAGGCTTCTGTCGTTCCAGGTAAATGAACAACCTTCTTTTAAGGCTACGGCAGCCTGCCTCTCTCTTCTGCTCATTCCTCCACGCCATCTTCTCTTCTCTAGAAATTTCTTGGGTCCTTTGGACAGATCTGAGGCTAAGCTCACAGCTTCACAACTGCACACCGCCATATTCTCCCAGTGCTTGGTATGGAATCTGCTAACCACGCTCGGCTGGTTCTTCTGTGCTGGTATGGGTTCCATTTAGGGGTATGAAGCAAACACCCACCCTGTGGAGAAGTGGGAGACGTCCAGGGTGTCACATGCAGTGCCCGAGTATCACTGACAGCGGAACAGAGGAGCAGGTGGACGTGAGCAGTAGCGCAGGCTCACACTTCAGGAGATTAAAGCATTTCCAGGGGTCACTGTAAAAGCCCATCTGTTCGTTTTCCATGCTAATGCAGTTCCTGGAAACAGCTGTCGGACCATTACCTTCCACTCTATTTAAAGGGCATTTAAATTGCTGAAATTACAAGGATGGAGTGTGCCACTGTTTACATATGAATTCAATTAGCCTCCTCCGTTTGGATGCACTGCCTGATACAATGATGAAAAATTTATTTGCAGCTCAGATCATTTTGGAGAATGATAAAGCCAGAGATGAACATGCTTTACTGTTACATCATCAACTTTCTTACTAGAACTTTTCCTCTCTGCTTGACTAGCCTCGTTCTGCAATTTCACTTTACCTGAAGAGATGCGGGATAATTAATTATCTTACTCAGCGGTACAGCAGCAGAGTCCTCGATACAGTATAACTACTCAAATGTCATCATATAAAACAAAACACTCGTGTAAAAACTGAACAAAATAAACAGAGGTTATTCCTGAACACCACAGACATTCACCGTGTGATGCATTTTTTTCCCTTCTCATTTGTTGAGCCTATAGTCAAAAACACAATGAAAGGAAACAAGCCACCATTTCCCAGGAACACATCAGGGAGCAAAGGGCTAACCTTGAAACAGATACATTGTTTGTCCCAAATTCTAACAATAACCAATAATGCACGGGGTGGAATATTGTGTTTGTTGCAAAATTGTCTCGACACCCCACACACACTGTATACAGCAAACAGTCATTCTGTTATATTTCGCAGAAATTCTTCAGGCACAGTGAGACTCGGACTTCACCTCATTTTGGTCTGTTGTTTTTATTTGGTGGCTCTTGATAAAACACACAGCCACAGCAGCGACCTTAGTGGTTTTCAATATATTACCATTCCCTACCCCCCCCCTCCTCCCACTCTCATACTTGGGGAGGGACCAAGACAAAATTAAGGGGAGATGGAAAATCCACTAGGATGCATTTCTTTGTACGCTTGCTGAAACCAGGAATCCTTTTTAAACCAAGCAAACTGAGGGGGGCAGAGTGACTGTAAACTGTACAGAAACTCCCTGAGGGGGTCGGGGGGGGGGGGGTCTGCATGGGACAGGCGGTAAACAGAAACACTCATGCTCTGCCTGACAGTCAGGGAACATACTAACGGCAGGGAACATACTACCGGCATGTACAAGACTGCAGAAGGGAAGCCATGCAACCCAGGGAGAACATAAACATTCCACAGAGAAAGAGCAGAGGTGGGATTCAAATCCCAAACCAAGCAGATATGAGACAACTGCACTACCCACTGAGCCACCATGTTACCCAACCACATATGTATAAACACTGCTGAACTGCTATTAGGCCCCGTGACTATCATAATGCCATCATCCTGATTCAACAGATTCAACATTCCCTTAGATCCTAGGAAACGGGACTAAAACTGTACAGAAACTCCACGGTGGTTATACTGGAAGGGATTCTGATGTAAAACATCTTAAATGTCCATTTTAAATAACAATTCATAAACACCACATCCTACATGGCTACTTTAGCCAACCTAAGTAAGACATTCCAAAGATTATAGCTCCACAACACCGATCGGAGCTCTTACTTATTTATCAGGCACTTTTATCCAAAGCATTGTACAATTCGGGATCAGATAATCCACAAAGCAATTTGGGATTAAGGGCCTTATTCAATGGGCCAAAGGTGACATCACTTCACCGATCACAGGATTTGAACCTACGGCCTTCCGACCATAGGCGTAGACCCCGACAGCACTTTCTCTTCTGTCACTTCTGTTCATCCAGGTTTAATCAGATTCAGGCAGGATTATGCTCAGTACTATAATTCTCAGCATCTGGTCTCCGTGAGAAGCAGTAATCTTTAGTGTCTTTAGGCGATAACAGTCCAGCTAAGGTAGTCACACTGCGTAATACCAGCCTGCAAATGCTTAGAGAGGAATGGTGACTTTGTCAGGGAGGGTGCGTAGAAGGAAGCTGCTTGGCAACTGTAGACTGCGCACTCTCAGCCCTGCGCCCAACACAGTCCCTCACCCCCCCACCTGCCTTTTATCGTCAGGGAAACCAGAGGCACCCCCTTGGAAAAAGTGCAAGAAGGACATATCACGACCTTCTCACCTCAATCTGTAAGGTCTGTCGGTTCCACTGCGAATGAGACGACGTCAAAATTATGAGTGAATCACCATGACATCCTGACAGTCCGGTGCCCTCCATTTCTACGACTGGGTCATTTCAGACTCTGCCCTCATCGAATTCTCCTATAGATAACAGGTCAATTCATCACGCAATGCATTTCTGTTAGATAAGCAGACAGAATATCCCTCATGTTGCATGGCTGCGTACAGTTTACAAAACCAGAGCATCTGGTCTGGCACAAATTACATAAATCAACAGTTACCTTCTTTACCCCGGTCAAGGTCAGGAGGAAGGAAGGTTAAACCTTGCTTTGCTCAGTTAACCGTGAACAGGCACGTCGCTAGAGGGTGATCTGGGCCTTTTGGGCCATTGCGACATTCCTGGATGGACCAGTCATGCAGAATAGGTTCCTGATACAGGCTGGGCCAGTCCTGAGGACCGGTCCTCTCTGTACTTTTTAGCTAAAGGGGAGGACACACTGGTCATAAACCTGAAGTCAACCCAGCAAAGCACAGGTCACATGACCCAGTATACTGCTGGTATACTTGGCTCCAGGCGATCCCCATGAACAATATTATTGTTTGTGTTAATATACAACGGGAGGGTGTTACTTATAAGCCCACGGTGGGAATATGAAGGACTATCCACCTCCACTTTATGGTGGATGCAGGCTGTTTGGAGAGCTGGGGGAGGGTTAGAGGGTCGATTAATGGAAAGTTACCAAATAAACAGGCAGAGGAATGCAATAACTATTGAAGGCACTAAGCCAGAGGGAGACGGTCGTTACGAACAACCTCCTCTGAGATTGTTGGCTTTGTACTTCACATCCAATAACACCAGAAGGTTGTAGGCTTGATCCTCAGCTCTGATTACCTCCAAAACACTTAAGCTGGTGCATGTCTTGGAATTCCAGAGCTGAACAAAGGGGATTAACCTGCAATTCACAAAGTTTATGCTGAACCTCTCCAATGACAAAAAAACAAAAAGTATGATTACTAAACAGTAAACGGTTCAGTAAAAACAACAAAGATCTGCAATTACAGATACCAGAAGACAGACAAGAGGCCCTGTACTATTTTCCCAAAAAGAGTTCCCAATTCTGGGATAAACAAAAGCACATAGGCAACCAACATCTTGCTAAGTTCAAAGTGTTGCCCACACCATTGTTCATCACAAGGGCAGGAAAAAGAGCTCCTCTGATGGTCACATTGCTGGCTATATGATGGATCTGCTGGCCAATCTGCTGGTGCCCCACAACCCAACATTCCAAAGTCCAGATCATCCACCTCCAAACATCCAGCTCCATCAAGCACCACAGCTTAATTGAACCATGCTGCACTGTAAGAGATGCATGTGACTCAGGACCCGTGGGACGACCTGGTTAAGGCCTCCAGCACTGAGTGGCATAAAATGGTGCCTCACCTGGGAAATCCGTAAACCGTGTAAACAAGATTAACTCCATGGAGCTCCGTGCAGCAACACGTGTCAAAATACATTGTGAAATAAAGCACCGTAAATTGATTTCAATAAAAGTTGTCTGATTTGCCTACCAGTCCAATTAAATATAAAAAGTGCATTCACACACTAGTGAGAAGGAACAAATCCTTCTTTGCGCCGATCAATCAAAGAACACGGGGACAAAGTACATCAACATCTCCCTGCCAAGGTTTTAGAACCGGTCTGTTTATAGCGCCCTTGTTGGCAAACCAAGCACATGCCTACTCACTGAAACATCCAGTCAACCTGAGAGCAGGACACAATGATTAACCACCTCTGATGAGGATCACATGACTGAAGCCCTACGGGTGAGATCATTGACCATGCCGGAAAATTAAGTATAACTTCCTTACATTTCAACTAGTTTTCTTAAATTATGCTCCAACTACTCAAAGGGTGTTTTACTCATAAGCTTTAATGGAAGCACTTTGTTATGTAATTTTGCTGTTGCAACTCCTGCTTGGAGATTGACAAGAGCTTTCTTTCAAGTCTGAAACAAGGAGGATGCCGTAATTGTTCCTTGTGACAGGAATCCCATGCAACACAAGGGGAACATAAAACAAACATTCCTTACAATAAGTCTGGAATTACTAGAAGAGCCATCTAGTTACCGAAATGCGGACAGCCTTTGTGAGCCATGGAGAGGCTGTTTGACTGCTCTGTACGTTAGATTATCTAAAGATATGGTCTCAGGATGTGTAGTATGTCTAGTATTTACAGTAGTGATTTTGTAGCATTACCATTAACAGATTATAACAGCTCAGAAAGTGAACAAAGGCCATAAACAGGATTTCCAAGGAAGACAAACATGCTACGATCTTAATGCTAATTAGTATTAAAATGCTGAATAAGTACTAATATTCTGACAGCTACTAATATAGCTGTCAGCATATTAGTAGCTCCTTCTAATATTTATGAATATGTTTTTGAGAAAAAGAGGCAAATATGATCATACAGCTTTCATGTTAATGAAGCTTTCATTTGGCCATATCAGCACATGATAATAATGTTCTATAAATAAAAGTGTTCACATAATATGCAAGGGTATCATGAAAAGATGAACTCGGCCTCTCTGACCTTCACCCTAGGAAGCGACGGATAACTATCATCACATAGCCCTCAAAATTATAACAGTATGTGGCTTATGGGCATCGATGATAATTTCTTTGGCATAAGGAACACAGAATAACATAGATCTGGAATATTTACACAATTGCTCACAAGAGTACAGGGCAGAAAAATATCAACCCGGACATGGAATCAAGACCTCATACCCAAACATTTACCAATGCAGCACAGTAAATATGCCAGTTTATAAGACAAGTCCATGTGCTTCTGCCACTAATGGTTGTAGATTAATGGAATCCCCTTCAGACTTTAAACAGGTAAGTGAATGACACTGGTGATACAGCTGACAGCTTAAAACTACTGTGAAAGCCTATGAAATTCCAGTGATGATAATCTCTACAAAACAGCACCTGTCACAAGAAATGTTTAACCAGAACTTGCCAGGCAACACAACTATACCTCATACAGAAGGCCTATCATACACACCGGCAGACTTCAATCCAAAATAAGATAAAGTCAAATATGTTGTCACTTGGGAGACAGCGAGTAAATACCTATTCAAATGGCATACCTTTCTAAAGGTCACAGGACCAAAGCATCATGTTTATCTCACAGTAAAGTGAACTCATCTCGCCTATCCTCACACTGCCCTTGTATAAATCTCACCTTTGAATCATTCCTTATATACTTTACGAAACATCTAGTGCATGGGCATCGCGGCAATTAAATCTGAAGGGGGGCAGTGTGCCCCCCCCACATTCAAAACGCTTCTGACGCCTCTGATCTAGTGAATGTTTATCACATGGGTCAAAGGACGTGACAAATCAAGCCTGTTTGCAGTACTTTTCGATTTTTTTCCCTATTAACTAAATTAACATCAAATATTATCAGACTGTGCGTTTAATATTCCACACATTATGTTTTTGCGGAACGACAGAGGAACGACAATATCACTTAAGAGTACCAGACTGATAATAATGAACTAGGCTAATTATCTGATTAGGTGGAGATTGTGGAGGGGAGTCAAGGAACAGCGATATGACTGTTGTGTGTTTCCTCAGCAGGATGCTTTCGTGGGACCTGCATCACACACTCATAACGCGAGACGTCCACCCCCGCACTTGAATTACTAACTACACTACTGCTACTAACTCAGTGACTTGATGCGATAAAGGGTGTGTGTCCTCTTCTTGTTTACTGTGCTGTATGCCTGCTCTACACAGAGAAACAGTCTCTCCCATAAGCCACCTCGCAAACACCCAGATTTCTAAAAATGAGCCCCATGCAGCTACGTCTAAGCCACCAGGTTAACTTGCTATCAGACACAAACTTTAATACGGAGGACAGGGACAATGATCCCGAAGAATGGAGACGAATAAACTTTTAATATGGCAGTACATAAGGTTTACAGGCTGAACCTTTATCTTCAGTCGTCTGAAATACGTCCTTATCACAGACATTCAATAAAAGGGTTGAAGTCCCTTTTCGAGCCAGTCTTTACTAGATGTCTGAGTACTACTAACACCTTCCATGGGAACAATACCATTCAGCTCGAATGTCCACATTCTTTCCATCTACTGGTCGCAGAGGATCAGCAGTTAGGATAACATGCAGTAAATGTAGAGCAGATTTCACTCTACGATCGCTTAGGATGCCTTATCTAGCCTTTTTCGTAATAAAATTTAGCAGTGCTTATAATGGAATAAGGAAAAAAAAACATGTACTTAACTATAAGATCTTATAGATTTTTAGGAAACACGGTGCCAAGCATTTACACCTAATATACTTTCGCTTTACACGACTCAAAGCAAAAAAGTTGAAATACAGGGCAGGGAGCTTTCGGCACTCCGAGCTTCAAGAAAAGTTCACGGAAAAATGAGAGCAAAACACGCAGATAAGGTCCTATGAACGATACTCCTAGCAGTCAGTTCAATAAATTACAGGAAAAAAGCATTTGTGAGAACTATGGTAATTCGCATTGCTTATAACATGTGACAATTAACTGAACCTTAGATAATTTAACGATAAGACGTGAATTTAAAATTAAAATGTAGTCACTGAAAAGAGTAGGCATAAACTACCAAGCATTTTCCTAAAGGGCTATTTACGCTAACAAAACTAAAGGATATAACTAGGAAACTATACAGCGTATCTTGTTTTTCTGAAGCATAATTATCTTAATAATACAATTATGAATACAGGTATTTAGCCTATAATTGTTTGATAGTTGAACGCAATCAGCCTAAAACCATTACCAATGCATAATTTTCAAATCGAACACAAAATCTTGTTCCCTTGGGAAAAATTCTTAAAACTTATACAGTAGTGATGTATACATATATAATATTCTACATACGTTCATTTGCAAGATATTGAGAACAGGCAGATGTCCAGACTGACAAAAATTAGAAATAATATATTTACACTTTTCCTTAATAATAGTTATAGTTTACAAACAAAGCGTGTTCATATATTTCTTGCTTACATTTCGGATGAATAGGAAATAAATTATATTGACACTCTCACCTGTGTTGGATAAGGTGTCAACAGAACCATCCTCTACAAAAGTACTCAAAATTAGTTTTTCATTGCCTAAAACGAGCCATAATTATCGCTGCAGGTCGCAACTAGGTAATCCCCGTGGACAGCACCGTGAGACCCGTCCTGGCCGAGAGTAGGTGTATCGCGGATCCTCTTCGGCGCTTCGTTGACTGAGCGAGTCGCGTCAGCCCACGATCCAGCCCCAGCCGTCTGCGCTGCAACCACAGACTGCGCAGATCTCAACCCTTCCAGTGGGATCACCTGTGTTGCCGTCTTACACGGGCGTGGCATTGTATGGGAACCCAGCTGGCTCAAAAAATTACCGATTCCAAGCTATTACAGGACCGGGCGAGCGCTCCATAGGTTTTTTTTTTTACGCGGAATAAGGCAAGGCTCCTTCGCGATAATTTACGATGTTGGATTGTATTTGTCACACTGAAGGTATGGAATCAGACTATAACCTACAGTGAAATGCAAGGTGGTACACTCTATCATAATACAAAAGCAAAATAAAGACATTAACAATATAATAAAAATTTAATAAATAAGGGAAATTATAGTAGGCCTATAAAAAATAGCACAGATGTGCAGCAGATCAACGTAGATCACATTGGTAAATAACTTAAGTTTAAGTTATTTAATTATCTCTACTGAATAATCATGAATAGATTATTCTTATCATTCCAAACATTTTGACTTTTTTAGTCTATAGAGGATTACAAATTCAAGTTACAAGTTATTTATATCTCTGCGTGGTTTGATAATGTGACTCGCCAAAGGAATTAAACTGCATAATAATAGTAGGCCGACTTTATATTATAAACATATAAGCAAGGAAGAGAATTCATACAGCCGTTAACCAGCTAACTAAGGTACAGGGGCTGCTAGGTTAGCTACGTTAAATGAGTACCGACTGCAAGTTACGGAAAGAAGACGGGGCTGCCAACTTTGGTCAGCATGGCAGTAGTGAGATTTTCAGTTCCAAGCCCACACACATGCACACGCACTTACATGTACGCAACAGTTGTATTACCTTGTAAATGTAAATAGTCTGTAGAGTTTGCAAACTACCCCAACGCTTTTGATGCAGCTAATTTTAGATTTATAATGGAATAATACAGATCTGCCGTAAGATTTCTTGCGTGAGATCTAGTCTGAGAGTGGGATTGTCCAGATGGTTGGCAACCCTGAGTTATACAAAAACATCAGAAAAGTTATTCGAATGAATAACACCAATTAAGTGCAAAATACAAGATTCAGAAGTTTCCGGTGATTGTTCAATTTTAATGGAATGATCAACGAAGGAAAACAGCTGGGGGAATCAGCGGTCCGATTAGGCTATTCAGTTATTCCTGGAAGAGATGGGTCTTAACGTGTTTATTGAAAGTTGCGAGGAACTCAGACCGGATGAAGTTGTGTAACTCATCCATTTACGTTGTACCACGCATCTAGTGCTGGACGAATCACCAGGTTCCTTTCGCTTGTGGATTATCGAGGTGGAGATGGATCCAGATCAGGAATTCAATGTTGATAGGTACCGTCCACTTAAGAGATCTGAAAGAAGGAACCAAGGATTTGGATTTGATGTGAACACCTAAAGGAAGTCAATGAGGAGAGGCAAAGAGAAGTGTGAAAGGAGAGCGTTTCATCTGGTTTTAACACCAGACATGCTGTAGCAGTGGTTATACACAGCAATTGCAAGCGTCGCGTAAATCCTTTAAACTATATGGCCACTAGATGGTAGAAGTTTGTAACTTTATCTTAAAGCTGGGATGAACATAGACGGATATGCCTCGAGTCATGAACACAAGATTATCAGCATTGATGTCTTTTCTTCGTTTTTTATGCCTTGATCAGTATTTTTATCTTGAAGATTCAGTACTTGTCCTGGTGTATTTGCATTATTTTTCTAAAGTATTTGAGGCAAACCAAAGTGAAAATGTTGGCAAATGAATATGAATTAATTTGCTTGTAATGTATCACCTGCTGTTTACAGTTGTCTGAGATTTATGTAATAGCATTGAACGGATTATTAATTAATTTACTTTCCAGTTCTCCAGTTTTGAAAAAAAGAAAAGAAAAGATTAAGAGCCTGTCCGTTCTTTTTCTCTCATCACCTTTTTTGTTTATCATTCTGACCTCATTTCACTAAAATGTTATGGGTAAAAATAGGCTTTCACTTGGCTCAGACATGAATGCGTGCGGTAGCAACAGGCTGAAACTTTCCCATGTTGCACAAAAGTCAGGATCAAAGCTGAACATCAGATGAAACTTTATGGCTTAGACTTGGATAGAAATGATTCCTGCTGAACGTTGCAGATGAGTTCCATTTTCTGTCAGAGCCATAATGGTCAACATTTCCAGGATAACACCTTTACGTTATATATGGAAAGATTTCTGAGGGGGATCAAAAACCAAGGAACAGAGTTTCCTGAGCCAAAGAGTTTGCAAGTGAAGCCACGGTAACTACATCCCATCATTCATGACACGGGGAGGCCTGATGTTCCTTCTGCAGGGGAAAACGCTCCATGGGCCATGATCTTCCTGAAGTGGGTCTGTGGGATCGTGCAGGAAGTGAAATGTGAAGGAATATCGTGCAGAAAGTGAAATGTGAAGGAATATCACCACATGATAAGAATAATAACTTCACATTTGTGATCTACATCCGAGTCTCAAAACGCAGGAGCAGGTAGAAGAGTGAGACTGGGCCAAAAATGGAGACATTTCATTATAGGTAATAAGATGCATCCATATCAATAAAAATCAGACTAAGAAAGTAAATAACAATTAGTCATAACTATAAAATGTCCATGGAGAAAACCATGTCTACATTACTTTTAAAAGACAGGTCATTTTTGAAAGCCGCCATTAAACTGATAACATCCTACAGCAGTCGATAGAGCAAGCATGGCTCATGGTATTGATAAGATCAGGGCTGCAGTTAAAATGGGGTGCCGGTGGATAGCACCCCCCAGTGGGAAAAAATGACATGAACCATCCTTTTTAAAAATATATCACCCCCCCCCCCCCCCCGAGCTGTTCTGCATAATTTCACTCAGTTTCACTAAAGGTAAATCTACTCTCTATATCAGAGCGGAACACTGGATATGAACAAATGTGTAACAACCAACATGTTTCCACATTATGACCCATTCCACCCAAGATGTGCCCCATGGACAGTGATTATATTGCTCTCTAAATATGCTGTCTTACAGTTGCTACAGTTGGTAGTTAATGTTCATAACCTACTGCGATTCAAAAGGCACTAGATTGCAAATCAGGGGTCAATTGATTATTGCACATAAATCATTAAAACACAATTCCTAAGGCTAAATATAAGGTCTTGATTGCCCTTTAAGAGCATATTTACAATTAAAGTAGACTTTCATTCACTCAGAGGGCTCTACACCCTATTGATGCGCACAGCACTGTTTGACGCCCAAATGGCGAAAGGAACCTAGTTCATTGACACAGACAACCTGGCCTTTATCGGTCTCCAAGGGCAAGCAAACACAGAGCACCTTATCAAAACCTCATTCCCAGTAGCCACATGGCTGTATCCCAAGTCTCCCTCACCCAGACCTTTGGAGCGGAACATGACTTGTGGAGCCACATTTCGGAAAAGCAGTTCACAAACTTACAGTGGGGACTATGCATGAGTCGCTCAGAAGACGACATCACCCACAAACACTAGCGGTCAGTACTAACCAGATTTATTCTTACTAGTGACACTGATGAGGAAAAAAATAGGTCCAATTCAGTGGAAGTACCCAGGCTCCATACAGGCAAGAAGGAATGGAATATTACCACTTTGAGAATTAATGAGCTATCGCAATTAGAATGGCATGGCGTAATACTCAATGCAGTTGTGTGCCCCCGCGGGGTAGGGTCTTGTGCCCGTGATTGGAAAGTTGCTGGTTCAAATCCCATGAGTGTTTGGTTGAGCCTGTTTCTCAATTGTATATTGCTTTGGATCAATGCATTTATTTGATGTAATGGAATACATGCAAAATATTATGAACCAGCTATCAAACTATATAGTAGCTTATTACCTTGAATTTGCTGTTGAGGCCCCGAATGGCTGGTAAACTTACGTAAGTGATTGAATTGTTTTTATTTGTTGCCTCAGTGTGTTTCTCATACAGCAATACGACATTATTCTTATCTGAAGTCAGCTCTGTGACAAAGTGTGAGTAAAAACCGATCGTGTTTACTGTTCTTATATAAGCATGTCAGCCTATTTGAGGATGTGTCTGCGTCAGAAAATACTCTGAGGACAATGTGTCTTAAATCCATTCTAGCTAAAGAAAAACCACAGGCCCCAATGAAGCCGATCAATACTTCCCCATTAGCTTATCTCCAAAATCTGCTGCCTGTTTGTCTAACTTCTCTAGCTACATAAAGGGAGGTTCTTCCTGCAGCGGAGTACATTCAAAGTACTGTGTGAGCTCTGTTCTGAAGCCAGTGGATACGTAGGAAGCTGAAGATTGCGGTTTATCCTTGATTTATTGAGGACTTCTAAAGTCGGCAAAGCAAGCTTTGCAGATACCAGCAGCCCCAGGTGAGACATCATTCTTCTGTCTGTTCCAGCAGCCATGATTGTGAGTTACTAATCTTGTTTATGGTATCAGTTTAACCTGTTTCTTATACTAAAAATGCTTCTCATCAGCAATTTGGATTTGATGCCTGTGAAACAAGGGCCAAACGTTATATAGTAGTGCATGCGATTGTAAAGGTATAAAGAGCACTCACTTTTCATCAGTTGAGACTCATGTTTTAAGTAGTTAAAAAACCATAAATGTTGGTGGCTGAGGTGAAACAGGGCTGTTGACGTTCCGCACACCAGGTCTGAGAGAACACTGTTACAATCTTTTAAACAGTAATATTCGTAGAACCATGTGTTATATCCACAGAGGAGAGGAAAGCTTCCTAACAGAGAAAGATGGTAGATTCCAAAGCAACTGTGCTCAGATCTGCCATTGGTCCCCCTGGGGCGTGACTGGTGACCACCTCAAACAGCAGCTTGAGCACCATGAACTGCAGGAAAATGTGCACCTGGCATGGGGGGGGGGATCACACAGAGCAGGTGCAAAGCTCCCCATGTCACTGTAAGATTGACACTGCAGAACGTTCATGTGCAACGTCGTCTTATCTGCCAGAAGCAGCTCTTTGGTGAAATTTTAACACACATTGGGATGATTATACAACTGTATTACTCACATGTCCTAAATATGTGACGGATGGTCCTGTTAGCTCCATTCAGCTAAAGCTTTTTATTGTCATCTCATCTTACAAAAGTGTATGTACAGCGAAAGCTTTACTGGGTTCACATTTAACAAAAGTGACAAAAACAATTACTGTAACAATCCAAAACAAGGGTGGCACATGAAACAGAACTGAGGGAGGGGGGGAGGTGTGATCACAGGTACAGTAGCAGGCAAAAGCCTGGACACACCTACTTAAAATTTGCTGTTTTTCAACAAGATAGCGACCCTAAGCAGACCTTGAGGTTATGTAAGTACTGTGTTATCTTATGAATAAGGAAAGAGATGGAGCGCTGTGACAGATGACCTGGCCCCCACAATCCCCCGACCTAAACCCTATAAAGCTGGTTTGGGATGAGTTTCATCGAAGAGTAAGAGCAAGGTAGCCAATCTGTGCCCAGAATCAGTGGAAACTCCTTCAGGACTGTTGGAGAAGCGTTCCAGGTGGCTACATATGGAAGCTGATTGAAGGAATGGCAAGAGTCTGCGATGCTGTCATCAAAGCGAAAGGGGGATAATGTGAGAAAATTTTGAGATGCTGAACATTTCTCTTAGTCATTGCAGTATCTGATATGTACCACTTCATTGCCTCGAGGTCTTTTACTATGAGGTGAATAAAACAGTTAAAACAGAAACATGCATTAAAAGCAGGTGTATCCAGACTTTTGACTGATGTATATGCTTACAACAATCTCAGAAACCCTGACTGCCTTTTCTTCTTCCCTTCCCTCATGTCGCTGCCTCAGCCTGCACCCTGCTAACACACTGCTCCCGTCCCCCAGAGTTGTGGAGTGTGACAATGGCGTTTGTGTCCACTGTCATCAAATGCCATTTTCACACTAATAGCTATGGTGAGAAATTTCCCCGAGAAGTATAACAGATAACCACAGAGGCCGAGGATGCGCATCATCTGACAAACAGCCCAAAAATAGGGCCGTAATGCAGTCACAGGTTTATTGTTGCTCAGACGTTGTCGGTGCAATAGCCAAACTAGCCAGTGATGTACAAAAACGGGCAAAAGGTACTCTATCAATAGTTTGTGCCCAGCAGTTTGTCTGTTCTACATCATTTAATTTAGCAGATGCTTTTATGGAAGCCTCATACCTAGCCTGTGAAATACACACCACAGTACAGGCTCACGTGGAGGGGGGGGGGGATTGGGGCGCAGTGTCTGTCTGTGCATCTGCCCCTTTTGCCCAAACAATTGAAGGTATGAATTAGGATACAGGCGATGACTCAGTATGACAAGATTCTGCAGGAAACACAATGACCTATCATGATATCTGTAATCCACAAAATGCCAATTAGTCAAGAATCACTAGTGTGGAAATACCACCATTAATTAATCCACAGACAGGCTAATCCATCCATCCATCCATCCATTTTCTGTAACCGCAGGGAGTTCGCAGCCCATCCTGGAGGCTACAACAACAACAGCAACAAATTTATTTTTGTATAGCGCATTATCACAACATTACATCGTCCCAAAGCGCTTTACAGCATCCCCACCCAAAGCCCCCAGTGAGTAAGCCATAGGCGACAGAGGCAAGGAAAAACTCCCTAGAAGGAAGAAACCTTGGGAGGGACCAGACTCAAAGGGGGAGCCCATCCTCCAGGGCCGGCAGGGAGAAGGCTGGGGACATCCCAGGATGAGGCGCCCTTCCATCACAGAATCCACCCATAACTGTGAAACCAAATTCTAATACCACATACAAGTACACACTTTCAAAAAACTGGCACAGAGTGGACGGTTTTCCTGAAACCAGGCCTGAAATGTCTAGAATGACAAGCTGGTCATTTCTACAGTGCCTGGGCAGTGACCGTCTTCATGGAGGATGTCACCCATCATTCCATGTTATTACTTCATAATAATATAATTAGCTGGTTGATATGAAAATGTATAGCCATGATGTAACACGTTTAGGGCTGGAAATAAAGAAACATTGAGATGGGAACATTTGGTTGTTGTTTAAGTGAACAGGGCCCACAGACGCATTCGGAAGTCTCTGCTTTGTCCCATCCGCTGGCCCCAAATTGTATTCAACAACCGTGATGGAACAGGAACATCATCCATACAAGTGATGAATAATTATATAGCCTACTATAGACTGTATATACTGTTTCGACCAATCAGATCAAGCGAGCTGCCTATTTGGACATCCTGCAGCTGGCTCCTCCCCCCGGTGCTTAGAAGGCAGTCCCCATTAGCCAATCCCATGGCTTCCCTGTATATCAGTGTGGTTTCCCAATGATACTTATTGTGTTATTTTATACTTCAGAGAATCTTGGTGCCATGAAATTAAGTTGTTGTTTTGTTTTTTTTTATAGATATAAGAGTAAAACAAATCTACAATTATTTGTTGCATAACCATTCCTAAAAGTAATTATTTTCCTGTGGGAATTTCCTTCCCAAGATTTATTAGGTGGTATCCATCACCCCAATAAACAACCTTCTCTGACACTAAATGACGCCCCTCCTGGGTTTTCACATGATTTGGTTGGCAAATATGTAAACACAACATAATAACGTAACTCTGCTCTTACAAAAAACTATCTATATACAAAAGCAACATATTGCATACATGATCATAATTCACAAATAAATGTTATATATACAGTACCAGTGTAAAGTTTGGGTACACCAGTTTCAAACTCAAACCATAATTATCTATCCTTTATGTATGGCTGTTACCAGGAGTAGAAGGTACTCTTATGGATTAATAAGTCAAAACTAATGTACTTGGATCCAAATGCTGTGTATTTGTAAGATGCAGAGGGTGAGTAAATGGTTCCCTCTGCCAAGTATGGAAGCATATCTGGGGTCTGGGGTTACTTTGCTGGTGACTAAGCCATAGTATACTTCAAAGGTATTCCATTCCATCTGGGAATTAGGCAGTCCTTCATTGTTCAGCCATATAATGACCTAAAACACAGCTCGGAATTTTATTAGAACCATCTGGAGAAGAAGGGAGGTGAATTACAGCCTCCAGTCCCATCGGAATTTTATGCGATGAACTGTGTAGGAGAATCAAAGCAAAGTGATTCACAAGAATCCTACATATCTGGGTGCATCCTGCATATCTGGGTGCCCTCAGATTAAGCGAATGCCTTGTGTTTGTGAAGCCATTATGAAGGCAAATGGTGGCTTTTGATTTTAACTGTGTTGGCACTACTTACGTTATTTTTTAGTATTTACAGAAAAAAATATGATGTAAACATCGGAGGAAAAAACTTAGGAACTTTTGACAGGAACTATATGTTCTACACTGGATATTTACACTTACTGATTCAGAATAAAATAGGAAAATATCTTGTAAAAAAAGATACTACTACTACTATTACTACTACTACTACTAATAATAATAATAATAATAGTCCTTTCCATCATATTTTGGGAAGCTGTGGCAGCAGATTGTCATGCCTTTCATGTCTCCTGTTGTCTCTACCTGAAGGACTCACCCTCAGGGTTCCGTCACTAGTGAGGTTTTTCATTAGGCCAAGCAGAACTCACTTTCTGGGTCCCGTCACTAGTGTGGTTTTTCATTAGGCCAAGCAGAACTCACTTTCTGGTTCCTGTCACTAGTGAGGTTTTTCATTAGGCCGTGCAGGATTTCCTTCTCCCATGACGCTTGCTGCCACCTAAAGTGTTCAGCACCAAGCAATGATTTAAATAAAAAAAAAACAGTGTTTCTATCTTGTGGATCCAAGTCCTACTGATGCAAGTTTGATGGAAAATTTCCTTTGTATAAGAAAGAAAACAACACGATACATTTGATTTGTCCCTAATTTCCAGGTTCCATGGCCCCGCTTTCTCAGGGTCTGGGCTTGTGGGGGTCGCCCACTGTCTTTTTCTTCAGGGTCGGCTTTGTCTCGTTCCCTGGCCTTCTGGCCTTCGGCTGGGTGGGTTGCAGGGACTGCAGGCCCAGTAGCGTGCAGAATCGGTTACACTGGTGCAGCGCCCTGAACTGGTCGATGAAAGATGTGGCACAGTTCCCCCTGAAGCCCCTGTACCTGAGAGAGCATCAGAGCGACAAAGCCGTGAACATAGCTGACCGCTTAATGGAGAGGTCAGCTTGCTTTAAATTCTCACCTTCTTCTGCATTAGCTTACCCCTTTCTACATGTCGCTATGCCAACGTCGGTCAGCTTCATCCCCACACCTGAAGGGGTTGAAAACACCAGATGATCACAAAAAAAAATGGTTTTTCTGTCTATGATTGTGGCAAAACCTCGATTTCCGAGCGATCCCAGACACGCACTTTTCCCACACGTTAGCATGTTAGCCATGCTAGCGTGATGACACTGCCCACTGTGTACCTTGCATGTCCGTCACCAGCAAGTTTCCCTCCGTCTTGTGGAAGACCCAGTGCTGGAAGGCGCAACACTTCTGTCCCGCCTCTGTCTCCCGCCTCGTCAGGTTGACCTCCCTCCCGTCCCGAACGGAGTACTTCACAAAGTCTCCAATCAGCTCCTCCTCCAGTGTGGCATAAGGAATGTCATTGGAGGGCCGGTGTACCAGGTAGATGGGAATGATCCTGGGGCAAAGGGACCACAGAGACCAGGATCAGGACGAGAGGAAGGCCTGATTGGTCACCAGGACACGGGGGGTGGGTGTCATACTCACTCGGGAACTTCCCCGAAAGCCTCCGCTGATTTTGCCACCTCTTTGTAGGCCTTGATGTACTCCCGAGCCGTGTTCTGAGCATGACACTCCTGAAACATAAAACAGACATTTTAAACCAGTAACCCTCACATCTTATCCATTCATATTTATTTCCAGTAACTGCTTATCCCAGCAAAGCCATACTGATTTCAATCCTAAGTACAGAACGTCAGCCCATTGTTCATACACACAAAACCAATTTGTCACACGACAAGCACGATTTAATTTTTGTGGTGTGAGAAGACACTTAACCAGAAGATGGAGAACATGCTAACATTGAAACAACACAAAACTTTATTACTCACTGAGCCAATGATTTACACTGTTCATTGAAGTACAGATTGTGATTCAGTATTAGAAATGTATTGCCATTCTTCAGTTGAGTAGCCTTTAATTGAGGTATTTGCTTGCTTGCTGACTCAGTTGTAAACTTCAGTATTATTCAAAAGCATAAACTCAAGGTTCCCTTTCAAGTGACTCAAAGCCTTGCAGCTGGACAACTAACACGCTTCCTCAGAGTTGTGTCTCAACACTACTCACCTCCACAGCCAGGCTGTAGTTCTTACAGACCAGCTCGTCGCTGCTCTTGGTGCCGTAACTGATGGCGTTGTGCACCTTCAGCACGCAGGGCTGTCCAGGCCTGAAGGCCTCCAGCAGGCCATCCAGGAGCTTAGTCCGGAAGGCCCGCCGGTGCATGCCTTCCCCAAAGTGGACCCCCTCGGTGATAATGCTGGCTGCCTCGTGCTCTCCAAAGTACTGCTCGCAGAGGAAGTCCTTCCTGAAGAGCAGTGGGGCACATCTCACATCCTCTCTAATGCCCTTGATGACTTCTGTAGAGAGACAGCCAGAGTAACATCAGAAGTGAATAGTATTGGTGCCACTTTACAATAAGGCTGCCCTTATAAAGGGATTATGAATGGTTTATAAGCAGGTTATTAATTAGGTTGTAACACTTTGTAAATCATTAATAGACAATTATAAACAAGTTATTAATCTTTAAGAAGTTTTCTTATTATTAATGAGTTATAAGTGGCAAAGGGTAGCCTTATTGTAAAGTGATACCTAGTATGTTTAGGTGAGGGAACTTACGTGCAGGGCTGTGGGGAGGGAGAAGTTCACTCAGCACTGTGCAAGAGAAGGTGGTATCAAAAACGGAGCCGTGATGAACGACAAAACCAAGGTGAAATGACGAGCATGCGGTGGTGTACCTTCTGCGGTCAGGTGGAACCTTGAGGACGCCTCACCATGAGGACCACTGAGAAGACACTGATAGGTCCCCAGGTCCGAAGCAGAGGCCTCTGCAATGGCGAGCGAGACCTGGAGGGGATCACCTGTACTACAGAAGAGAGCAGAAACTCAGTTCTCGAGCCACGGCTCTTCATTAAAGGTTCCAAAAGGGGCCTTCAGATTGTCCCTGTCGATTAGATAGACAGACAAGTGAGAGTCCAGCTTGGGGTCAGAACACAGAGTCTGCTATTAATCCAGCAGCTCTGGAGCGGTTTTGGTACTGAAACCCAAAGAGACCAAAAATACTGGTTGTTGTAGTCTATTAAACAGTCCATGACCTCCTGCTTATGTAATACACAGCAACCACAAAGGGCCAGATACCTCAATGCACTCATTCATGCTCAAATGATAACATGCTGGATGTTAAAATAAAGGGTATTTATTCAGATGCTTAAATGATAATCTGCAGGAGTTTGGCCAGAAACCAAACACAGTTACAGTGTACCTTCTCTCCTGGCCGGCCAGAAGAGCGCCATCTTTGGACCAGACGATGGAGCAGTCGTCCGTGACGCACCCCAGCAGACAGAGCAGCCTGAGGCCCGTGTCCCCGCCCTTCTCTGGCCAGATGTCCCGTAACACGCTGGAGGCTGGAGTGACACACAGGACAGTCGTTAACGCTCCATTCTGGCAGCTCCACCCATGCCTGAGAGAAGCCTTAAAAGCCCCTGGGCTTGTTAAACAAGCTGAGCTCTCGGGGACTCTGGTTACTACTGACCGGCAAAACGGGTGATTCACAAACTGCATGCCACAGTCTGCCAGCTCAGAGACCCCAGGGGCAGGAACAGCCTTTCAGTAAGGATGTCCTACCTTGGGACAGGCAGAGGGGTGTAGCAGAGGGGCCAGGGCCACTACAGAAAACTTTACTTAAACCAAAGTGTTTTTTATGCTCATTATGGTAATTGCTGTTACCAGGAGTGTCGTTAGAGATTTTGAGTCCCATGAAAACATATCATATTGGGCCCCCAAATTTGTCCAAAAATTTTTATGGCCCCTGTCAGTCAGGGGCCCTCGGAATCATCCTAACTGTCCTCCCCCCCCCAGCTATTACTGTAGTATTACTGCAGCATTTAATGCCAGCTGAGCCAGCAGTAGATCATTGCTTAAGCAAGTTTTCTACTAGATGTTTTTAGCTGAGTAGCTGGGTACTGGAGAGTGGTGCAGTGTTCCAGGACCAGGACTGGAGCAGCTTCCCGGTTACCTTCCTTCACCCTACGAGGTCGCTCTTCACTCGCTTCACGTTCAGGCCTTTTATGGGTCGGTGGTCCTGAGGACTTATCTCTGTTATGCTCTGCTGGCCGGCTATCTCCTAAAGTAGCGGTGCGCTTTTCTTCACTGGATAACTGCCTGCTACACAGTAGGTCATTCTTATGCTTGGCTGTTTCACACTGAGTCAAACGAGTCACTTGGATTTGGGAATGTTTCTGTTCGTTCCCTGGGCTGGAGCTTTCTGTCACCGTAACGTCCTCCACCACTGCCATGGTTCCACCTGCCCTGTCAGAACTTTCCCAATTAGCATGTATCTCCAGAGATTCTCCACACTCCTGTCCCGTTCCAGGTACCCCCAGTGCGGCTGCCACGACCGTCCCCTCAGGGCAGATAAGGTCCCCCTTGCATTCTGAAGATGTTTCCGGTACGCTGGGACAAATATCAGCACTCTGCTGTCCTTCACCATCACAAACAGTATCAGTCTTTCCCATTTTAGCCTGCCCCAAGGACGTCTGACTGTACACGTCCCCCAGACAAAACGAACCAGCATGAAAGAAGACGTCATGGAGGTCGAGCGTTAGACACGCGACGTGGTCTTCCTTTGAAAGTATCAGGTTCTCAACCGTCACTATGATCACACTGGCGAGCTCCTGGCCAAGGGCCCTGACTCCATGAATGGGATCCGTCCCCGTGGGGTCAAAGGTCACGGCTGTCAGGGGACCTCCAATTGACACCGGTTCTTTTTCTGGAGTAGGGCCGTCACTGCCGAGTTCGACTTGTGGCAGGTCTCCATGAAGATCCTCATCAGCCTGATTTAGGGAAACCTTCTGATGCACAGCTTTAAAACTGAAACTGTCACCGGTTGAGTGTGACATGCTCGGTAAGCTGATGTCAGTCTGGCCATCCTCTCCCGACACTGGGGCCTCATGCGGTGGGGCTTCCTGCCCGCAGGGGTCCGCCAGTATGCTAACGTATAGGTTCTCACGTTCTTCCCCTTTTCCACAGTTTTCAGGGCAGATAGTCTCACAGGCTGGGAGTTCCTCAGTTACCATGTCGACCGTCCCTGTCGGTCGCTCCCTGAACTCATCTTCAGGCCCTGGCAGGGGGTGATTTGTCACCTCTGAGTTTCTGACAACACCCATCTAGATAGAAACAAAAAAAAAAACAGTCTAAATTCAATTTCATTTTAATTGCAGCATTACGCTCAAAACATCAGATAAGACTACGTCACGACCAATCATGAAACAGTTCAGCAAAACAACAATGATCATTTATCACGATTTATACAAGACTGAAACAGACACTGAGAGATAAGCTTGAATTATGGTGCCACTGTTCACATAGTTTAACGCTCTTTGGTTTTTATTATTGTGAATAATGATCTGCCCTCCAATGGAGAAAAATGAATATAGTAAGACATCCTTATTTTCATTCTACTCTAATCATGCAACCTTAGCAGCTCTTTGTTAAACCTTTCAGCTTCAGCCAGGCCCCTGTCAGATACCATTATCACCAAGTGTCTCTATAATTAGTTGTTTTATCTTTCTGTCTGTGTTTGTATGAACCAGCTTAAAGCCAGTTTAAAAGCTAAACTTCTGAATGCACAATATTTGCAATAGTTGTCTATCTCTATGGCCATCAAACAATCAAGACAGCATATTTCACAACACTGACACTCTAATGCTTCATTCTCAGATTCTACCTATAATGTATCTTTTGTACGTGTTTGTAATGAGTGTTTGTCTACAGTTCGATGGTTGTTCTTTATTGTCTGCTGTTATACTTATTGTGTTTTTATTTGTGTTATAGTCTAAAGGTCAATAAAAACTTGATGCTTCACAGTGTCTTTAATAAACCTGCCAAAGACTATTTTTATATGCACAATCGTGAAAGACGCTTTGAGTAAAAACATCCACTTAATAACCACATGTAAAAGTTAAGGTAAGCCATGGTAAGTACTGAAGAGCTTTACGCAGATCCCTGAGCTCACCGTTGGCCACTGTGGCACCGGAACTGTATTGGAGTATTGAGGTACTCTGAAAATCTCATCAATGGTGCACACAAACACCTTCCTCTGGTCATCACGTTCCTCAGTCATCTCCCACACTGTTGCACTTTCCATCCCAGGAACGGGCTCCATGATGCTGCCTGTGAAGGTAGCAGTAGTTCCAGGGTATCTCATCTCAAAGGACCTCCACTGCTGGTCCAGGTCTATCTCCAGGCAGGCTTGGTTGCTTTCCACCCTGGTATGATCCTGTGGGCATGTGCTCGAGTTGACATCCTCCGCTGGTTTGGTGCCCTCCTGATCTGGCTGTAGCTCCTCGCTCTGGTCTGTGAGGGCCATGGCAGATTGGGTCTGGCTGATTGCAGTAGAAGATTCAGGGACCCCCAAAGTAACCATGTCACAGTTTGTGCTTATCCAGCTGTCTGAAGACGGCCCTCTTTTGACAGGGGAACACCACAGTTCTGAGTAATCATCTGACTCATCACCTAGCCGTCCAATCCGGGCCTCCGTTCCCCTATAACCCGACACCGGCTGGCTCACGGCTCCTCCAAACACCCCCTCCTCCGTGACCTTTCCCTGAGCTGACGGCAACTGCACGTGCAATCTGTCCACGTGGCTGCCGGGAGCTGAAGGGGCCAGATCATCCCCACCTGTTGCCACCTGGCTGTTATTCAGCTCCAGCTCATTTTCACTGCCGAACCACAAAGACGAGTTGCTGGGCGCCTCACTGCCATGTTTGTTTACATCCCCTGGGCTGACAGGTCTATCAATGTCCTCTGCAAAATGAGAATCACAGCCTGTTTCCACCTCCTGAGAGCCAGAATCCTTCATTTCGAGGCATGTTGCATCCGTACAGTTTCCCCTATGATCTTCAGTGGGGCGATTCAGATGGTTTCCCATGGTTTGTAGGTAGTGGCCAAGCTTCTCACACCACTAGAGTTATAAATTGTAAGTTGTGCCAAATTTTTTATTTATTTTTTTTTTGGGGGGGGAGGGTTAAAAAATGACAAAGTTCAGCACAATGGCACCTCGTGGCTTGTTTGTCATGGAAGCCAGACTCCTCTTTTCACCTTCAAAAAGAAAAGAAACCGTTTGCAATCTTTTTCCACTTAATAAAAATGTCATCACTTCTAAGATGCAAACAGAATCTAGTTACACTAATCCTGCAACAGCTGTTTTCCATTTAATTGAGATGCGCAATTACTAATAGTTTCATCGTTTCTGCGATAGATTCACCCCCCCATCCTGGTTTGTTCCCAGCCTTCTACCTGTATCCCTCCAGGATAGGCTAAGGGTTAGACTGCACAAGTGGTTACAAAACATACATTTCTGGACATAAATTTAAGAGAAGAGATATAATATATTAGACACTAAATAATAATCATTGATATCCATGGTGTGCAAAAGTGATAGTAAGTGGAGCCAGTGCAAGAGTCTAGGAATAAATATGCATTTACATATGTACTTGTGGGCTGAGAGCGTTGGCGTGCAGGTCATAAACACTGTCCTCATTTAGGATCCAACGTGCCTCAACCTCTCTCTGCTGCCATTCATGTAGGGTCTGCCTAACGCCAATGTAGAGAAGAGGCCATTGTGTTTATAGATTTTTATACTTTCAGTATATTTTTGTAGTTTTGTTTGATATCAGTGCCAGCATATTCGAGTTATTAAAACTACAATATTCCTTTGTTGCTAAAACCCTGTATTTGTTTGGTTATTTTCTTTTCATTAATGAAAATGTTATTTAATGAGGCGTGAGATGGAGAACAAGTAAGCTAATTCTCAGGGTGCTGTATCGAAGCTGGTGAGGACTAACCCAGTTTGTCATCCGTTTACTATGAACCGAAACCCACAAACTAGCAGCTGACGATCGTCACTTTTAGATCAAACATCATTAATGAAAAAAATCTCTATACCGTATATACGCGACAGATTACTGTAAGCCCTGCAATATTTGTGTCATCCATTGTAACGTAGAATAGTGTGACAGGTAGGAACTAATGTGGATGGTAGTTGCCCTCGGATGGGGGGGGGGAAGCAGTTTTGTAATGAAAAGGCAGCAGCAACGTGTTGATGGACGGGTTCTTGGAAAAAGAAGTTGATTCATTAAAAGGGTCTGCGGTGAGCCGCAGCTACCCGATTCCAGCGGTACTCTTCGATTTAAAAAGTGGTACAACAGTCGTCTTAACCTCGGACGCTACAATAGCGTGAAATATTATCATAATTAAACTCCTGATGGCTTGTCATGTTGGAATTTCTACAGATACAATAACTCATAACAAACATTCTTGTATCAACATATCAATATACGGTCTTGTCATTAATTCATTTTAGTTCAATCTCACTGGCTAGTAGCTAACCTTTTATAGGCCTATAGTGTGTTATAAAGGCTATTGTATGTTTTTTAAATAAAGAGGAAAGTAATATTTAGTCAGCTCTTTCCCTCCCAAAACAGCAGTGTATTCCTCCAAAGAAGGATCAAGTGATGCCCCTAATACGTGTTCACAGAAAGCTTTTCCATACCTGTTTCACGCCGTAGAGCTGGATTTACTGACGTTGATGCAGGAGCTGGGGTTAAAAACTGTGCTGTGCTTAGGGACTCGGGCTATTTTTACAGTGACCCTGCACCCCCTCTACCGTACACTGATCTATAGTTACCTGATAGCGAAGACATGTGCTACTCTTGAACACTTAACACCGCAAATCTATATCTGTGCTATCTCTACGTTAGCTAGCATGCTAAACTTCCACTTGTTTTTTCACTTGCCGGAGTCCACGCCCATCGAGTGACGCCTGTTGTGGTGGGGGGGGGGCTGGCCACACCACACTCCCCACGCCAGGTAACATAGACATGCCGTTCGGCGCTGACGGCAGGGGTGCCACTAGAGACTTTTGGCCCCATGAAAGCATTCGATATTGGGCCCCCAACCCAGACTAAATCCAATAATGTTCCAAATTCTTGTGTTCTCCAGTTGAACTACACATAATGTACAAAATGTACAAAATGGTACAAATAGTCCTAATAATACATTGTACAAATAATACAAAATGGTGCAATGGTACAAAAAAGTCCTTATGTGTCCATTTCTGTACTGTAAATTAGACTAAAAGCTGAATTAGCCTATAGGTAGGGTACGATTGGCAGACACTTGAGGATACAGCCACAGTGACATGTAATTGTGCCCTCAAAGGTACAAATCGGTACTTTTTATGAGTGTGTACAAGCCTATACCCCCTTACTAATGTACATTCAGTATCCTTCCTGCTCAGGGTGAGGCTTTAAATGCCACCCGCATTACTTTTTATATTCGTATGTCCTGTTATCCATGTAATTGTAAAAGTATGTGAAAGCACTGATGATTCTGCTATAAATAGCAAAAGTTTCCAACATGTAAGGTGACATAGTGTTATAATACACACATCAGTATTAGGAAAGGGGCAAAGCATTCTGGTCAGTAATATCTACAATCTGAGCTATTGAGATATCTACTGGTGTATTCTTGTTAGGGTACATGTGAGAGTTCTTGATTTTCATATAATGTCACTCAGTGTTTGTCAAACTGGTCCTTGGAGACCCCCAGATGGTCCACGTCTTGCTCCCTCTCAGTTCCCTGCCAGGACGGTCTGGGGGGATACCTGAGGACCAGGTTCAGAAACACTGCCATAGCTAACCCTATCATTTTCGATCCTAATCCATATGCCCCCAAAGCTCCTAATTTCCAAACTGTCATTTTTTTTAATTGGTATAATTACTCTAGTACTTATTCGAGTACTTTTTAAAATATGAAAAGGCATTTATGCAGCAGTAAATAACTTCCACGCAGTTTCCATAAATTACTGTGAATATATAGCTCATGGGAGGTGGGCCAACCAATCAGATGTCTTGGTCCCACCACCTCTAGTTGCTTGGACCCACCTATTCTACAGTCTGATTGGTTATCACTCTGAACTAATCATTTTTTGTTCTTCCCTCAGAACAGTTTTGTGGAAGTAAAACTCCCAGGAGCGAATACATAGCGGGGAGCACTGCCGGTGGAATGTCCCTGCGGAGGCACTCAGACACACTAGCTAACCTAAGCACATATTTTGTGCTATGGGGGGGAATGTGGTACCTGGAGAAAACCTGAAATGACTTACTGTCCAAAGCCTGGAGGAATTAGCCTGCAGGTGCAGCCACTGAGCCAGAGGCCTCCTGGCACGTAATCTGTGAGATTAAATATCGTAATGGAATCTCAGGCATAAAATACCAGTAGGTGTCTGGTGGATTAATTACAACTATAAATACTGCCATCATAACTGGTGCAACACAAAATAGCTTATGCAGTGGTGTACACATAAGTTGGCAAATTTCCAAGATCAACGGGTTTCATTTCTAGTAAATAATGTGGAATTATAATATATTATATTTTACCTTTCTAGATTATAGTCTTGCCTTGTCAGTCTCTACAAGAGTCCCAAAGAGAACCTCTTTCTGTTCATCATTGCATATATGTATCACTCTATATGTACTATTTTCATCTTTCACATTTGCTCAAAAAGGTGCACGATACGACTGCATCCACACTTGCAGCCCTTTGCACTGTGTGCAATAGCTGCACTGAGATCGAATCTGAATTACACCAACTTGACCGCATGATATTATTATTATAATTATTATTATTCACTTTAGCTCCATATATTTGGACACGCGTCGCTCACCATACTACGCTGTTTACTGTGAAGGTTGCACAGGGCAGTCGCGCGCTGTGAAAGTCTGCTGCGCAAGGAAATGAATCTTTATATATGTTTATATTTATATAAACACATAGTTTCCTTTGTGAACGGTGCACGCGATGAATACATTTCAACATTAAATAATTTCTGTAACTTCTGTAAACGTTTCGTAATCTTAATTCCTACGTTCGTCGCACGGCTTTACCACGCCAGACACTAACCAGAAAGTAATACTAGGCAAATTAACATAAGGACGTGTTTTTCAAACGTCGGATTCATTGTGGAGAAATAAAATCACACGTTTCATTAAAAACAACGCTGGTATTGAGCTTTTTATAGGTTTGGTTCACTTGCGATGAACGAAGTGTTGAACAAAAATTCAAGGAAAGCACACCTCTTTTTTAACTTCATCAGGAAGTGAAATACGTACGTAGCAGCTATCGGTTTCGGTACACTTTCTGGTTTTCCCCCGCACTCGTCACCTTGACATATATTTACTGGCTCTTAACACGGAAAGTATTGTGCATAATTTATCGTCACTACACGACAAACAGTAAGTGACGATCTGCCTGCTTCCCCGTCGCTGGATGCTTTCTACATTAGTGCTTTATTTGTGCTGGTTGTTTTAATGAACCTATTTCAGTATCATCGTGATACATGTGCGAAGTCACGCACGGTTCTTTTACTATAGTTATTGGCCAGATTATTAAAAACGCTTGATTCGAGGATTTGCCGTGGTACTGCATTTAAAACCGCCCTTGAGAAATAAATGGTAATCTCTCACTAACAGTTAGTTCATGACATGCAGGTGATTGAGATATAGAAATAATTTATCTGATACTTATTTCCGTAGCATCTCCATGAATATAGCCTAACCGGTTGGCTTAAATATCACTTGCATGAAAACAGATCTGTGCACCATAAGTAGTGGCCATAAATTAAAAAGAGGTTTTTATGTTGTTAAGGTGGCCAATACGTGTGTTTATTTTGTGGTGTTCTAGCTGTTGTGGTCGTGTACGAATGAATTAAATGTTTCCCGGAAAAGTACTTTTGTTCAGTTATACAACTTTAATCAAGTGAAAAGTAAGGAAAGTGACATGCGTAATAAAATAATTTTTACTTTTCAGGCTGCAAAATGGGTTGTTGATATAACTAAATTCTGTGATGGGTAACATAGGCGGTATTGTAGGAGAAAATATATCTCAGATCAGGATTGTACAAGTAACACAGTCAATTAATGACCGTAAAACTTTAACATATTTTCCGGTTACTGTGATTGAAAATTTAAGAATAATGAAACTTTACGATTGTATGTACCAGTGGCTTTCCAAACAATGTTTTTTTTTTTTTGCAGTGCAATACATGTTATAGTTCACGTTTTATTATATTAGGCTACTATTTTACTGATTGTTATTGGTCGTTAAATAGGGAGGCAGGTAACGTTAAAGATAAAGCCATGCACTCTGCAAGGTTTCTGGTGCAAGTAATACAGTCATCAGTATTAATGGGTCAGCTAAAAAATAAGTGTAGTTTGATGATTTAGTGGAAAATCCTGTTCATGGGACACTGAGCTGTGAGGGAGATTTATGGATAATTTATAAGATTCAAATAACTGAAACCTACTTTAAACTAAGTGTGCTTCTCATTGGTACTAATTCATTTGTTCCTGTTGGTTGATTCTTGTTCCTTATTGGTGCAATTTTATTTAATTCAGTGTACATCTAATTACTTGTGCTACATCGCAATAACTGTACAAACAGAGGCATTATTACGCCATGGAGGATATTACATAGGGTCTCAGGAAGGACATAATGACAACTGGGAGAGACACACTATATTTCTAGACAGGTGACAGTTTTCTGTAGAATAGATAATATATTTGGTGCTGATTATTTGTTAGAATTTGCACTGGTTACAAATCTATATTGTAACAGTTGTCAGGATTGGATAGCATCAACAAGAAAACCTTTTTTTTATTGAAAAATATACCTGTTTGATATTCAGTTGATGTCACCAAAAATAAAACAGCATGGCATGACTGTAGACAGGTTTGTAGAGTCTCAGTCTGGAGTCTCATCTGGGCACAAGATTTCTTGTGCCGTATAAACAAATTTAAGTCCTATTACTCTCTTGGTGTTATGTTTATTAATGAATGTGGTGATCTTGGTAAGAGAACAGAATAGTTGTAGCTTAAAAAACTCCAAAATGTTCGCAGCTGTAAAAGCTGAATGACCCAGCAGCTTTGATGTAAATGCTCTGCTGACGTTTCTGCAGCTTTGACTTAATGAAAATTCTTCTGTCTACAGTCGACCAAGGCAGATGAAGCCGTGAGGAGCATCATCTTGTTTTTTTCCATTTCGTCATTTTGGGAGGATAACCTGACATTTTTGAGATGTCAGACGGCCCTGACTGTTATTCCATGAATATTAACCTGCTGAGAGAGCCTGTTCTGAGGCGACTCTGCGAGATACTGGACAAGACAAATAGCAAAGGATGGCGTAAACTGGGAGAAGTGGTCAGCAATGACAGACGCTTCAGAGTGAGGTGGGGACCAGGGTCATATGGAACAAGCCAACACCTGCCCCCCCCCCCCCCCCCACTGCCACAGGTCATGCAGGAAACACACTGAAATGCCTTCTTCTCAATTACCTGTTGGAAATACTTTCCAGAAAAGAAAAATAGAAAATCACTTGATGGGGACTGAAATATATAAATTACTTAAGTTTAGTAAATCATGCATACAGTATTCAAAAGTAGTAGGTTATTGCTGGTGTGGGCATTAAAGCTCTATTGATTAGCTGTTGGAGACACACTTTGTTCAAAGGGACTCCTTACTTCTGAGGAAACTATGAGTAAACTGTGTGTAATAGGCCTGAGAGTCTTGGTTCTCCTTCCCGTACTCTAGCTCGGACGAGATGGAGCGATGCTCCCTGAAAGTTCTGGAGCTGGAGGGAAGCCCAACGCGCAGTTTACTGAGGCTCATGGGAGATCGTGGCTGCCTGCTAAAGGACCTGGTGGACTTCCTGCAAGCTATGGACCACACCGAGGCTCTTCAGTGCATTAAGCCCGCTGGTATACGCATCTGCAACATTTGTGCTGGTGCAGTTATTCTGTGTTTGCCCTCTGATGGGTTGGCACCTGGTCCTGGGTTTTTCGCTGTGTTGCGCCCTTAGCTTCCAGGATAGGCTCCAGATCCCTGTAACCCTGTAAAGGACAAAAATGGATGGATGGATGGACGGACAGATGGATGGATGGATGGATGGGATTTGCTTGTTTCATAGTCTGAAGTATTTTGCAGAATTATTCCTAAAAGTCCTCGCTGAGATCCCCCAGAAAAGCCTGTTCCATTCAGACCTTCCATCAAACAGTGCTATAGAACTCATTAATATCATGGATAATGAGGGGAATTTGCTATTTCAAAAGGCCATCACTTGCTTTGGTAGTAAGGTCCTTGCCACAGTAGTAACATTATACCATCCACCCTCAATCGACTTATTGTGCTGAGGGACACAGCGAGGAGCCTGGAGCCTATTTTCAGGGAGCATAAACTATGGAGAAAGGAAAGACCCAGGGTGGGATGCCAGTCTGTACTGGGACATACTGGGATTCTTTAGGAATGATACAGTGGTGCAACTGGTTTTAAGCTCTTATTTCTTGTCCATAAAAGGTTCTTAGAATTACTCTTTGTTTTTTCTTTTAGACCCGTCACCGTCACTAGGAATAAGAATTGTCATGCAACCCCAGTCTGTATCCGCTGTACCTGGCCAAACGGTTCGACTTGACTGTCACGCCATGGGAAATCCAGGCATGCAGTACCAGTGGTTCAAAACAAAAGATGAGGCGAGTACTGTTCGGGGACACTTTTGGGAACTTCCAGTGTGCATGGTCATTTATCCGTGGTGTCTATGCTGTGAAAAATATTGTGGTTTTACAGAATAAATACACAAATTCTGTGTACATGGAGAGAAAAATCAGGTTCCCATTCCTCCAAAAATAACATTTTTTACTGAATCTTCCAAATGTTCTTTGAGAGGAAGAGAACAAATAAAGTCAGCATAAAATAATTTAGATTCATGATACTTTAAATAGAGGACTTCCATCCATTCACCCTTGTTCTACAGTAGTGTTTCCCAATCTGGTCCTCGGGGGCCCACAGACAGGCCGCATTTTTGCTCCCTCTCAGCTCCCAGGGGACTGTCTGACAGGGATTCCGGAGGGAGCAAAAACATGGACTGATTGTGGCTCCCTGACGACCAGATTGAGAAACACTGTTCCATACCTTATTCAGTTTTGTTCTTATACCATTTATAAGATATGAAACAAAAGTCAGCGCAAAGGACTCAAAAGAGAAAGAAGAACCACATTGCATGCCATTCCTTAGTATAACTGTTTTGTCTTCATCTTGTCTATTCCTGTTGTGGAGAATTATGAATCCAGTCCACTACTTAGAGCTGATTGATTTAGGATGGGTGCTATTCTCAGGTGCCTAATGGAATTTCCCCAGAACTGGAATTTAGTCCAGTGCAAGTAAAGGATACCGGTTACTACATCTGCCGGGTAAATTATGGCGGCACCTTTGAGTTCAGCAATTGGGCCCAGGTGGAGATTCTGGATGCCACACTGACAAGCGGTGAGCATACTCTGCTTTTTCTGGATGTTAGTGGCAGTTAGCAGTGTGAAGTGCTACCCAGTGCTAATATTATGCTAACTATGCTAATATTAAGGTAATATTATGACGTTGCATGCATACTTCATGCCTTCTTGATGAAGACTCTGAACTTAAAGGTCTTTATTTGAAGACGTGACCTCTGCACACTTGCCCCTCCCCAGGCATGATGTCCCAGTCCTTAGAGGGCCGGGTGAAGGTTGTGCTGCAGCCCCAGGATCAGAGGCTGCCCGAGGAGGCCGTGTTGGAGTTGGAGTGCGGGGCAGTGGGGAGACCCATACCGCAGTATCAGTGGTACAGGAACGGGGTGCCCCTCCAGCACGCCTGCAAGAGGAAATACACGGTGAGGAGGTGGAGGACCCAGACCCTACAGACACCTGCTCCTCGCGTATGGTGGGCCTGGAAGGCTGCCTCTAGCTTTTGCTTTCCATTCACACATCCCCCGTCTGTGCCCCGACGCAACAGGTCCATGTAGCGACCAAGGAGCACGAGGGGAAGTACCGCTGCATGGTGTCCATCAAGGATGAGCGCACGTGGTCGCGGGAAGCTGAGGTCCTCATAGGTGCGTCAGCGCGGCGGTGGCTGAAAATGGTGAATGAGTGTGACCGTTTTAGCAGAAACGGGTTCGGCGTGCAGGAAGACGAGTGTCTACTGCTCAGAAGTGCTGCTTTTGCAATAATACGGAAAACTTTCAGATATCAGTTTCATTTATTTAAGGTTAACTTAAAAATCCATAATTCATGGCAAGATGAGTGAAACTTGAGGACTTGTTCTTTCATCTCTTTTCTTTTGTACTCGAGTGTTTTGTGTTCAGCAGTGAAACCGCCATTCAAGGCAGTTTCAGCAAAGATTCGTAGTTTGCAAAGTTGGAGATGTTAATACAAAGAACTGAAGTGTTTCTTGGTTTTGGTGGACAACAGGCAGGAGGTGAAGACATTGACTTAATCCCTCCTTCACCTGGATACATTTAGTATGTAGTTCATTTAAAAAAATATTACATTTCATGTTGTCTTGTGAATTTACACATTACCGTGTTTTGACTATGGCCAACCCCAGTAGTAATGAAACAAAAAGACTAATGCAGGAAGCATGAGGAGCTACACGTGATATTATTGGATTATAGAGGAGATCCCCAGACCATCAGCCATTCTGACTACATTCCATAGGACGAAAATAACTGTGTCTGAGACATTTTGAAACATGACTTTTGCCAAAGATGCATTGATCTTTTCTGTTTCCACAGAAGGACATTATCACAATTACTACTTGTTTTCGTAATCCTATATGTATGTTTGATTTCTATTGTTTCTTTCAGTGCTTGTAGTACTGTCGTTAGTATTTGATTCATTCGTTTAGTGTATCTCTGATTCTTAGGGGATATTTGCCCACTGATCTTACCTATGTTCACAATATTCTGTGGACATACAAAGATAAAGATATTAGTTTGCCTACTTGGATTAAGAGGACACATCATGCATAGGGTGACCATATACTGTATTGCTTTGCAAAAAGAGGACACCAGGGGGCAGGAGGCAAAGAGAGGCATCAATAGTGCAAATATGGACTCAGAAATTATTCTGACTGTAGCAAATACCAACATGAAAGAAAGTAAAATCCTGGACATTTCAGGCATTTTTAGGTGCCAAACAAGAGGACATGTTCGGGAAAAAAGAGGATGTATGGTCACCGCAATCATGTCGGAAAGTCGAGCAGCATGATTACTTTGATGCTAATGACCATATTTTTGTGTGTTGCCTTCAGACAGTGATGATACCACCAGGTACCGGACTGCAGAAAAGCCCTTTGGTAAGTTATGGAAAAACCCAAAACCAACTACCAGGAAGTAACTTGTCTGGGTTGCCAAGCAGATCCACGATGGTCACTGATGTTGTGGCTTCTGTCCTGAGACCGGGACTTGCCAACGGCTTTGAGGGCGTTACTTTGAGCCGCTGTAGAAACAGGCCAGGATCTGGTTTCAGCCAGTATGTCGATGCCCCCACCACACGTGTGGTTTTTACCACCAGAAGCCCAGGTTTCTGTCTGTACCTCCTGCATACCTCACTGATGAAAGTGCAGTGATCACATGACCGACTTCGGTAGGCTGCTGTACGATTTAACACATAACTGCTGGCTGACGTAAGACATAAACCTGATGGGTGTTTTTGTCTTTGTTCCTATAGCAACCGACAAAGTCGCATTGTTGATCGGGAACCTGTCGTACCAGAACCATCCGCAGCTAAGGGCACCCATGGTCGATGTGTACGACCTCACCAACTTGCTGCGGCAGCTCAACTTCAAGGTGGTGTCCCTGCTGGACCTCACTGAGTCAGAAATGCGCAACGCCGTCGACGAATTCCTGCTGCTTCTGCACAAAGGCGTGTATGGTGCGTGTATGACGCGTGCACAGTGCAGGTATGGCACAAGTGCAGACCACGTACACAGTGCATATATGGTGCATTGGAGGCAATTTGTCTAATTGGTCATTGCATAAATTACACACAAGCCTAGAGGGTGAAGTGGAGAAAACCTTTGGCCAGGCATCTATTCCAGACCAGGGGCCTGTACTACGAAGCGGGATTACTGGCTTATCAGGGTAACTTGTCGGATTTAAGGTAGTCTGGGCAAAATGTAAGTGAACGAATACGAAATCCATTTAAACTGTGGTACCTTAAATCCGACAAGTTACCCTGATAAGCCAGTAACCCCGCTTTGTAGTACAGGCCACAGGCCCAAGTTTTGCACCCATTGAGGTTTTCTACATCTTAATGTTACTCACTTAACATTTACTAAAACTACACTCAATATTCTTTGCTAACAAAAAAACTGACAGTATTTTCACCATGTGAGTATCTTTATTAGCAAGAAAATGTCATATCTTTGATTTATCAAAGTAACCTCCTCTAACAATTATAACAGCAGAGAAAATTCATGGCATTCTTTCTACAAGGGACATTGAATACTGCTCTGTTTCATGGGTTGAAACACTTAACAGATGCATTTAAAGTTAAAGGACAGCCTATAATTTGACTCTGCCATCACCACACAACCAGTTAATAGGATGTCAGACATGCACTTTTACATACTCTTACATGTTATAAAGGAAACTTGTTTTATTTGACTTATATTTTCATTTATAGTTGCTCACTCAAATTTCCAAAGCTTAACGAGAATAAAAAACTTTCGTGTGCGAAAACTTTTGACTGGTAGCGTACATATCTGAGCCAAGGCCAGTATGTGAAGTGCAAATACCTGGGTATAGGAACAAAAAAATTTAACAACAGGAGAAATGTCGTGCTGGGTTTTAGCTATTAGTGACAACTATTTGCTGAAGGGCAATTTAAGGGCCATTTAATAAATAATATTTAATAAATAACGGTGAAAGGTAATACTGTAGCATTGTTTTCAGAGATGTGGAAATAGTGAGTAGAACTGTTGACAGAAGTGGGCTGTCTGTGGTTTACAATCTTATCAGATTTTGCATGTAACTTCCTGTGGAAGACCTCATGTCAATAACCATACCTGCCGATACTGAGAACGTGGCATTCAAGGAGCCGGGGTTCAGCTGCTGGGCTACGGGAATGGAAACTTCACTGAAAGCTCAGCCCACACTTGAAGCGGCAGTCGACGTACATTCGCATCAACGTGCCTTTGATTTATCAAAGTACTAAGTACTTGTTTGTGAAATTCTAGCTGTCATTTTTGCTTGTGACTTGACACGCGCCGTGCCGCTCCTCTCCAGTGCCCTTCGTATCCAAGAATACTAAGATATCAAATTGTGACAGATTTTTCGTGACGTACCATTGAACCTCGATTCGAAAACACACGCCTCCACGGACACTAATGACGGCATTTGGTGATGTCTGTCCCGCGACGGCAAGCCGTGATCGCTCCGCCAGAAACGTGAGGTCCTCACGTGGTTCCGTGGAGTGGGTCCAGGATGAAAAACCCAAGTGAGGGTTTAATTTTATCAAGGCCACATGAAACCCTTGCCAGGAGGGCAGCTGAAAACGTACCTTTGGTGGGGGGGGGGGGGGGTCGGCCTCTGGGACCCTGTGAGACGAGTGATGAAGTTGGCAAAGCGTTGTGCCGGGTCCAGTGTCATGTTACCAATGGGATGACAGATAACTCATGTCACAGTGCTAGTGGTCGCCTCTACACCTGATATCAGACACCGGGTGGGGCGGGGTTCAAACGATAGCTTGGGGGGCATCACTGGGGGGGGCTACAAAGGGGCGGTATGTCTTCTAGAGGATTGCCAGTGACATAACCTTTTATGGGGGATGTGACATGTCATAGCTAATATCATGTGGAGACTTTAGTCAAGAGCTGCTCTGTGGTCACGTCTCTGTCTGATGGGAGTCGTAGCTGCTATGTCTGCTCTAAATTCAGATCTGTGTGCCTAGTATTTTCCTGGCTTGATGATATGTTTGCGTACTAAGGCCTGAATTCCAGAACTGCAGATCCAGGTATGCTTGGATTCATGCACAGAAGAGTTCCTCTAATCTACATGATCACATGACGTGGGCAGGGCTGTGGGTGAGGAGCTGCAGGGCTGGTCAGAAGGGGATGTTATTTTTAAAACGGTGGTTTTTAAACCAGAGTTTTCCCAGAAAAGCGCCTTGAAATTGGTTGCTGCGCTTTTGATAGAACTTAGTGCCATTTGGTCATGCACTGGAGACAAGCTCATTGCTCCCACACCCCCTCAGAGTTCTGAAAATCGTTAATAGTGCTTTAATGAAGACCGCGTGTTCATTGGTAGGCGTTCCCAGCCCCCCCAGTCCATTGCCAGTATTCCACCAGGCCCAGGAACTCTGCGGGTTGAGTTGCTACCTGTCCTGCTATGTCCCGTATCGTTTCACAAAAATACCACATTTGTCTTACCTTTCCATGCACAATAGGTTGTGAAGCCCTCTTCTTCCACAATGTCACATGACCTCGCAGCTGAATGTCTCTCCCGTTCAGGACTCCTGTACTACGCGGGCCACGGCTACGAGAACTACGGCAACAGCTTCATGGTCCCCGTGGACGCCCCCAACCCCTACCGCTCGGCCAACTGCCTCTGCGTGCAGAGCATCCTGAAGCTGATGCAGGAGAAGGAGACTGGCCTGAACGTCTTCCTGCTAGACATGTGCAGGAAGAGGTGCCCTGTAACCCCAAATGCCGCCTCTCTCATTTCCTGTCCTGTTAAGGGCGATCTGCCGCACTTCTGTAACCATAGCTGTTTGGTCACCATCTCCCTGCCCTTTCTCTTGACATAACGTAGGTAGAGCGGAGTTAAGTAACCCATGAGTCATCCCGTTTGTTCATTGTGTCATTCGGTGATAGACATCTGAGACCCTGCTGTGACATACTGAACCATGGATTGCTCATGTACAGAAGTAGATTCATTGTTTATGTTGCTAGATATTTTCAAATGGTCTTTATCATCTGGATTGCATTTTTCACAAAAGGAGTAAGTCTAATATCGGACATGAAAGTTTAATGTTTGTTTAGGAGAAGTAGTCTGAAGATGAATAGATGAATTACCTGGTTAATCGCATTGTCTTCCTTAGGAACATCCACGATGATACTACACCCAACGTCGTGTTGAGAGTCACAGCTAACATCGTCTTTGGATATGCGACGTAGGTCTATCGCCTCCGTCCTTCACAGCGTAGATCTGGACAAATATGCTGCAAATGATCTTCAAGTGTTTGATCGAGTCTGTCTGAAAAAGTTACTAAATGAAAAACTTCTACAAAAAGTTGGTCATTATACTACATAATGCGTCAGGTCAAAATAACATGATTGGGGCATGTTCAATTACAATGCACGGAGGCATTAATATATCTCTTTAGATATATTGAGCCATATCAGTATATATCTTTTTGCCTGTTTGACATTTTGAAATATTGGGTCCTGCTCAGATAATAAAATCAGGTAACCTTGAAAGAGAGGGTGAGCTCTTGTTCTGGTTCGGAACCCGCTGGAACATTAAACGAAACGTGCTCTTACAGGTGCCAGGACGCAGAGGCATTCGAGCTGAACTCCAGCGGATTCACCAATGGCGTCTTCATCAAGTTCCTTAAAAAGCGCCTCCTGGAGGACGAGAAGATCACGGTGCTGCTGGACCGAGTGGCAGAGGGTAGGTGGAGAAGGCCGAGACACAGACTGTTGCTGTTCGCTGAACGCTTAGCCTGTCTTCACCCAAAAGCTGTGGATAATGTCGTTTTGCAAGGCTGATGCCCAAAGGAGATTATTTGTACAGTGACCACATGAATGCTGCCTCGCGTAATGCACAAATATCTCATACTGCCTTCCTAAATATAGTCGCAGTCTGTTTGGTCCTTGAATGGTGCACATATCCCTATTGTGATTTCAGCAGTGTCACCTTTAGCCTCCGTCACCATAACGTGTTCTCTCTCCTCCAGACATGGGTCAGTTTGACCCCACCAAGGGCAAACAGGCCCTGGAAATCCGCAGCAGCCTGTCGGAGAGGCGCTCTCTAACCGACCCCATCCTGCCCAGAGGCTGCTCGGACGAGGCCCAGGCTCGCAACCTGCAGTGGGCAAAGGCGCACGGTACAGCTCCGGCCCCAGCATCCCGCTCACACTGCAGGTTCCCCCGGAAAAGCCTTTGGCGTCACATAGCTGTTCTTGGCGGCTGATAAAACTCCCATGATGCACGCAGCCTTATGCTCCTACACCTCCCACATCTTTCCAGACATACGGTGCTTCTTCAGATGCACCTACACTCACCCAAACAGACGACGTTAATACGTTATATTAGCCAATTATCTGATAACAGTTGCAGTCACCTTTTCCATAATTTGCTTTCTGTAAGATAGAACATGACTGAACCTTTACAACACCTTCTGTTCCATTTTATCTCAAAATACCAATATAAGAATACGTACGAATTCCAACATTTGATCATAAATCCTACTATGCCCTGAAGTTATATAGGTAATTAAATACATTGACTAATTTTTGTGCCATTTGTATGTGTGACTGTTCCCAGAACTGCCCGAGAGCATGTCCCTGAACTTTGACTGCGGGGTGCAGATCAAAATGGGCTTCGCTGCAGAGTTCTCCAACGTGCTGGTCATCTACACCAGCATCGTGAAGAAGCCCGAAGACATATCATCCTGCCAGGCCTATGTCACCAACTTCAGCCCGGTAAGACTGCACACCCAATCACAAGCTGACATCACCCGACCAGACACCCCCCCCCCCCCCAGGTACCACTGGCATACTGTCTCCTCTCTTCTCAGGAGCTTGACGTGGACCCCAAGGAGATGAACAGGGTGACCCCTGAGGAAACTGGAAGCTACCTGCTGTCCAAGAATCTGCCTCAACACTGCCTGTATACCCGCCTGAGCTGCCTGCAAAAGCTCCGGGTACGAGGGGGCTGCGTTCTGTCAGCACACCTGCTTCCAGTGTTTGGGCCGAGATGCCATGTGCTCATGCAACTTGTATCTGTTCATAGCTACTGTTCAGGCTTTCTCATTAACTGAAGTACGAGGATAAAACCATTGAAACAGACCCCTTCATTAAGATCATTACAGGCTATTATTAAACCGCTAAGATATTGCAACGGCAGGTAAATGGATTCAGCTAAGACATACAATATAATTAGGTGGTGTAGTCCCTAGCAGAAACAAAGACTTTCAGATCTTAGTCCTCCAGGACCATGATTTAATTTTAGGATTTAAGGAACTGTAGTTGTGCTTGGATCAGTGGATTAATACTTCTTTCATGTGGTTGGGATTGGAACTCGTAACAAATCACTTGAATAAAAACTTACAAATGTTCTTTGAGCTAATAGGTAAGATCACTTGAGTACAGTGTTGGGGAAGTTACTCACAAAAGTAATCCATTACAGACATAGGTGCAAAGTCAGGTCCAGAATGTCCAACACTGTCCAGAAATCCAGACTAAGGTTTTGTTTCAATCAACCAGCTGAGTACTCTGTGACTGTCACTCTTTATGCCCAGCTGGTTGGTTGAAAGAAAACCTTGGTCTGGATTTGAATTTTATGGACCTGAACTCTCTCTTTAATTGGGTCTGGAGCCTATCCCAGAGGCTACAAGACAGGGAATAACCCCGGATTTGTATAGGCAATGTACAATAATATGTGACCATTTATGTGAGTAACTTCCTCAGCACTACTTGCATGTTATATGGATGATGATAAACAGCAATTAAGTCCTTCATTGTTCTCCCAGCGTAGTCTGGCTGTCTTCCTGATCTCTCCCTGTTTCTTCTGTGCAGGAGCATCTGGTCTTCACAGTTTGCCTTCAGGGCTCCTTCACAGCCGTGGAGGAGCTGGTAGACTGGACCATGGAGGTGAACATCGGGAAGCCTCTGATCGCCAAGCTGGACCTGCACCGGCCCGTGCGCCGCAATAGCTGCCTGCAGACATGCCTGATGCCCCACAGCCCCTCCCACAGCCCCTGCCACAGCCCCGGGGCCGAGCATCTCCAGCAGCACTGCTACTTCCCGTCAGCACACGGGAGCACGTACCTCGAAGTATATGAGCCTTCCCATAGCTCCCACGGCGCCCTCTACTGGGGGCACCCGCACTGCGATCCTCCCTTCTACAGTCGCTACCACATGGGTGACGGTGATGAAGACCCTCCCTTTCTGGAGTCCCACAGTAGAATTAACATTCCCATAGAAGCCACGGACGACATTGACGATCTGCAGACAAGCTTCATCAACAGCCTGCAGATTCACGGCCAGCAATGACACGCTGGTCACTGGGCCAAACAGTAGCATGTTGTTACCCGTAGCATCCTAACAGTCCTTGTTCCTGTTTTATTTGTATGACAGCTGGTTGTAAATGTGTAGAATTTTGTCATATATACTTTGTGAATGTAACCAGTACCCAGAAGGATTCTGCTCTGTAAAATAGCCAGCTGTAAAAATGGGTAAAACTGTGACTTTAGGAAAATAATATGTCTTTCATTTTTTGTTGCCAATAAGGTTTCATCCGCGGTGAGTACTGTCTGAATAATCTCCTCTGCAGCGTAGCACTTAAGTCGTTATTACATTTCTCATTACATAAGCCGCAGACGGGGATTACCTTAAGCCACTCTATCTGCATATTGATACCATCACCGATTACGCTTGAAATCTCCGCTACCTAGTTAATTCTTGCCAAGTCAGAATATTTCATTTCCTGTCGGTGCCTGAAAGCTCGAGGCCTCGGCGTATCCAGCATAGTGTCTTATGCAGCACTGTTGGTCAGTTGGAAGCAGGACAGCATTGGCTTCGTTTCCGTGCACTGGACAGAAGATGTGCTGTTCGGACATCCCTGGTATTACAAATGCAAGTTGTGTGGATTATTATTGTCTGTCTTATTACTATTAATAAAATGTTGGTTATTTAATGTAGCTATCAATCACTAATCCAACACAGGGTCTCAGTGAGCAACCAAGGAAACGGATAAAAACATACAAACCCCAAAAAAGGGGGCATTGGTAACTGTGGGCTGACCATATGGGCACCGTGTCCACAGGGGGGCGCCGAGCAGAACAAACCCCATAACCATCCTCTTCCCATTATGAATGTTTGTGATTAATATGATTATATATTGCTCTTTTAATATGGCACACAATGAAAGGCCTGTGATGTTTCCCCTGTGTCAGACGCATTTCTGAATTCTGTGAGCCAATAATCAGCTCAGTTTCTTTCTGACAAAATGTCATATGTGCCGTTGCCCAGAAGCACTTAATACTTTTAATGCTGGATCCCATTTAAACCCCCGTTTTCTGTACCCACGTGTCTCATGCAGGGTTGCGGGGGTCCGCAGTCTATCCCAGAGGCTACGGATGCAAGACAGGGAATAACCCCGGATTTGTATTGGCAATGTACAATGATATATGACTGTGTGAAAAAACATTTTAAATGTCAAATATTTAAACATGGCTCTACATTTTATACTTAATCACTCATTCATTCATTAATAATGATTCACTTTTGCATAATTATGAATAGCTCTACATCATGACGAATGTCTTATGATCATTCAGTATAGAAGATGACTTTTTAAGTCACACAGGCCCTCAGCTTGATTTAAAGGGATTACATACCCAAGATGTTTGTGGAAGCCAAGGAAATCTCTCTAAGTCATTGTACGACGGATTTATCTAAGATGTAGCTGCAGATGCACAGGACCGTCAGTTATCAACCGCACTTTCACAGTCTTGTCCAAAAGGTGCATGTATGCTAAAGGGAAACATCACGCTTTCATAACTGACAGCGAAGAGTTAGACACTGAATGTGCTTAACGGTGTTTTCAGACAGGAAACTATCGTCCTACTAAAACATACTCAAACTGCACGCAGCAGCGCAGTGTTCCTGTTATGTGAGAAATTCTGCGTAACTTTTTCATGAGGCTTTTTATAAACATCAATGCATCCCGTTTCCATAGCACCTGGCTCCCTACCCTAACCCTAAGTATAACATATATAGAAATTTTACATAAGTTTAACAGGATTTAGAGAATATTTTTCCAATCAATGTGGATGCTCTCAATGAAGGACTAAGATGTATTTAGCTTTCTGCTAATTAACTGTGCCCCCGGTAGCCACAGGCGTGTAAAATCAAGCACCTAGGCATGCAGACTGCTTTTACAAACGTTTGAGAAGAGAATGGGTCACTCTCAGGAGTTTAGTGAATTCAAGTGTGGTACCGTGATAGGATGCCACCTGTGCAATAAGTGCATTTGTGAAATTGCCTCGCTACTACACATTCCATGGTCAAATGTTACTGGTATTATAACAAAGTGAAAGCAATTGGGAACAACAGCAACTCAGCCATGAAGTGGTAGGCCACGTAAAATCACTGAGCGGGGACAACGCATGCTGAGGCACACAGTGTGCAGAATATTGAAAACTGTCTGCAGAGTCAATAGCTACAGACCTCCAAACTTTATGTGACCTTCAGATTAGCTCAAGAACAGTGTGTAGACAACTTCATGGAATGGGTTTCCATGGCCGAGCAGCTGCATCCAAACCTTACATCACCAAGTGCAATGCAAAGCGTCAGATGCGTCTAAAGCACTCTGCCAATGGACACTAGAGCAGTGGACACTAGAGCAGTGGTGACGTGTTCTCTGGAGTGAAGAATCACACTTCTCTATCTGGCAGTCCGATGGACGAGTCTGGGTTTGGCGGTTGTCAGGAGAACGGTACAGTACTTGCCTGACTGCATTGTGCCAAGTGTAAAGTTTGGTGGAGGGGGGATTATGGTGTGGGGCTGTTTTTCAGGGGTTGGGCTTGGCCCCTTAGTTCCAGTGAAAGGAACTCTTAATGCTGCAGCATTCTAAGCCATATAGGACAATTTCATGCTCCCAACTTTGTGGGAACAGTTTGGGGATGGCCCCTTCCTGTTCCAACATAACTGCACACCAGTGCACAAAGCAAGGTCCATAAGGACATGGATGAACGAGTCTGGTGTGGAGGAACTTGGCTGGCCTGCACAGAGCCCTGACCTCAACCCGATCTAACACCTTTAGGATGAATGAGAGCAGAGACTGCGAGCCAGGCCTTCTCATCCAACATCAGTGCCTGACGTCACAAATGCTGTCCTGGAGGAATGGTCAAAAATTCCCATAAACACACTCCTAAACCTTGTGGACAGTCTTCCCAGTAGAGTTGAAGCTGTTATAGCTGCAAAGGGTGGGTCAACTCCATATTAAAGCCTATGTATTAAGAATGGGATGTAATTTAAATCCATGTGTGTAAAGGCAGGTGTCCCAATACTTTTGGGAATGTAGTGTATCTAAATAAGAACAAAATTATTCTGGACAGATTTTGAGAAAATGAATTTTACAGAATCAAATTTCCAACAAGATGTCAATAAAACGTTGAATTAATACTAAAAGTCTCAACCTATGACTCCAAAAAATTAAATTCCCTGTGTGATCCAGGTGAAATACGCGCTTTTTGTGTTGCTGATGTGGTAAATCTTCAGCCTCCCCTAATGAGTGTCTAAAATAATATCTAAAGTTGTAGTGGATTTTTCATACAGACTTTGAATATATTCCTCCCGTAGATAAAAGAAATGGAATTAGGTTAACCGGTGTCCTGTGCTGCATTACTGTTCTCATTACTCTCAAGAGGAAATATTTCTGTTTAATTGTATGTTACTTTAGCGGGACAAGACAAAATACCTGGGCATTGCTCTTGAATTATATTGATTTTGTACAAGCATCCTAAAAAGTCGGATGTAAAATAAGCTTCGTTTCTTTAGCAAACAGTCAGCTGAATATCACCACCTAGTGGTTGTGGTGCTTCTTATTGCCTCAACAAAGATGGCGGCAAACTTCGGCCTCTAGACCGGGTTTGGCCACGCCCAGCTTTATGTTCCGGGAGTGACGTATGATGCTTGGCGGGAAATTGCAACCGGAAAGTCGTGTGGTTCTTGTTATTGTTTTTATAAGAAGCTCTCCAACGATATGAAATTGGAAATAGCGGGCAAAATATACTGCAGATTTCATAAACCTGTTGTGAAACGCATTATTTAGCATAACACCAAAATGCTCTGCATTTTAGTTTGCTAATCTTTAATGGTTAATCTGAATGGGCTGCATCTAGCTAGCTGATCTTCTACTGGTTTAGTATAATACGTCCTTTTTAAAATCGGTTACTTTGCTTTCTTAACATAAACCTACAACAATGGCCGATGCGTTTTCCGAAGCAAGTGACAGGAGTGAGGATGACAGCCAGGATGTAATGACCCCGGCAGAGCTGATTGCTAAGTTGGAACAGGTACGTAACGACTTGAACCTTTTAATATCTAGGGGGAAATAAGTACAGCTGTACAACTGTATAAAAAATACCAAGGTTCCAATAAAATAGCAAAAATGTTAGCTAACCACTTAAAAAAACTATATACGAACTGCTAGAGATATTTTTAAATATAACTCGTCTTGCTCATCTGATAGCATCGTAGCCATTCTATGGATTTTTATGCACGTTCCGTGGTTTTTCTACTTAATGCCTACACGTTATATCGTTTTGAGTTCACCCCCACCTCCCCAGAACATACATACTGCTCTTCAAATGCAAAACACAGTAACTACGCTGACAGAAAAAAATGTGCCCTGCCGTGGTTTTACTGTGAATTTTGTAGCTACTGTGATTTTTTAACTGTTTTCCTCGAAACCCATCAACTATATAGTTAGAAGATTGTGTCACGACATAAAACGATCTAAGGAACGCGATTTCGGCAATAATTCTGTTTTTATAAAATGTGCAGTTACAGTATTTTGCCTGTGTGGGGCAGTATTAGAGTCGTATTCTTTACACCCAGGCCTGGCTGAACGAGAAGTTTTCCCCTGAGCTAATGGAGAGTAAGTCTGAGATCGTGGAGTGTGTGATGGAGCAGCTGACCCACATGGTGAGGAACTGTAATTAAAAATAATTTGGTGGAGTGGGGATGTCATGATTCAACAGTTAGGGTCAAGATTCACTGTTCCCTCGCTGTATGGACAGGAGGGGAATCTGCAGCGGGTGAGGAAAGGTGATATCAAGGCCAGCATCCACCGGATGGAGATAGACCGGATCCGTTTTGTCCTCAGCAGCTACCTCCGTTCCCGGCTTCGAAAGGTGCTGATCTCAGAGCAGCCTGTTTTATACCCCTTCTGGGATGGTATCATAAGTGCTTATTAGTGGAGGTCCTGAGCTAAGCAGTTTGTCCAAAACAACTGAAGCGGTTCATGCTAGCCGTATTGTTACATCACACCCTGCACTCTGTTTGCCCCCCCCGCAAGGCTGTTTGCTGCTCATTTGCACCCCCATGTCTTCTCTTAATTACATCATTCTGAGGAGCTCACATTTCATTAGGGTACAAGGACAGAAAGCCTTTCAGTGACTCTACATGGTAATATGTTTGTATGTCTGTGCCTTGATCTCGCAAGTATTGCTCATTCCACTGCCCTCACCTGTCTCTTAAGATAGAGAAGTACTTCCCTCACATCTTGGAAAAGGAGAAATCCCGCGCCGAAGGAGACCCGTCCTTTCTGTCCCCGGAAGAGTTCGCCTTTGCCAAAGAGTGAGTGAAGCATCGAAATGAAGTCGGGTGTTGAAATGAAAGATGGGGCAGTTCATGTTTAGAGAGGCGGAACGTTTTCTGATTATTAGTGTTTTATCATCGTGTCTGTCTTGATTTGCAGACTGTTATTAATGTTTTTTTTATGTTTTGCTTGCTGAGTTGATAAGCTAAGGGGCATTTTGCAATATGTAGATAAGTATCTTCACTGGATTATGTTCCCAGAAAAGACTAAAGAATTCTAGTATGCTACTGGATATATATGGGCATATTAAAATAAATGTCTGTAATTCAGTACCCAGTGCATCTATTCTGTGACATATTAGGCCTCACTGTCTGCTGTGCTGTTCATACTAAAATATTAATATAAATCATTATAAAGTATGCTATGTAGGTCATTAGAAACAATCTGTTTATACATTTATAAATCAATCTATTGAGCTGTATTGTTGGCAGATGCATTTAGATCAGTTAACATGACTATATGAGGAGTTAGTATGAATATAAAGAAACGTCTAGCATTTAATTATGTGTAAAATAAGATTCAGCAAGAAGCTAAAAAAGGACATGCAATTCTGCAACAACAGTTTGAAAGTCTCAGTGTTGGTCTATTGACTGGGTGTAAATAGTGTTTTACAGGAAAGGCAACAGCTGCTGTCTGTTCCACAGGTATCTGGCAAACACAGAATCTTACCTGAAGACTGTTGCTCTAAGACACATGCCACCCAATCTGCAGACTGTGGACATGCTGAAAGCCGGTGAGGTCTGCAGCTTGGGAATAAAGCCAAGGGCTTGCATTGCAGTGGGTCACTAATAAAGTTCTGGATGGAGGTTTGAACGTGAGCTGCTGTAATTTGCGGTTCAAACATGCGTGTTTCTCCTGTTCACATGTCGCCCCGCAGTGCCCAAGCCCTGTCTGGATTCTTTTGTGTTCCTGCGTGTCCACGAGCGTCAGGAGAACATTCTGGTGGAACCTGAGACAGATGAGCAGAGGTGCTGTGACACCGAGTTTACTTCATCCTGCCAAGTGCCGTCACACGGTGCCATTTCGCAAAGCAGCATAATAAAGTGCTGCGATCGATGGCTGCTGCTGTTATTTTGTCTGACATATAGCCCCATTTTTCAGGGAATATGCCATTGACCTGGAGGAAGGCTCCCAGCACCTAATGCGATACAGCACTATAGCACCCCTAGTGGCCAGTGGAGCAGTGCAGCTAATATAGGAGGTAACGCTGGTCCGAATCCTGAGTGCATTCCAGGACAGTCTAAATATTTCTCTTCTGCGTGGGAGCATGAATGTTGTCTGGTTGACTTGCGTTTAATTTGTATGTTTAAATTTTGTCAATGAACTGATTAATTCTCTACAGTTGTCAGGTTGGGTCTTTCTGCTTATTATAAATGACATATTTCAGCCTCTGATAATGAATATGAAGTGCAGTGAGGGAAGGATTAATGTCATTCAGTGACACATGGAGCTCAGGCCCCAAAACCAGCAAAACCTGAATAATACATCAAAATGTATCTTGAACCGGCTCTGCTGTCGGGTCACAGTAAACCGTTACATCACTTCTGCCAAAACCTCATAGGTTTTTTTGGTCCTTTTTATTTTAAATCGAGCTTTTATTCATGCAGGGACCTACTGAGAAATTTGGTAAATACAAGTATGATCTAGAGAGGCTGCTTTATCCCTAGTTGCCACCTAAACCCAGAGTGCAGATTCATTTGGTACTAGGCAGGAATTAAACCAGAGAGGCACGTCTGAAGGCAGCTTTTCTGGTGCCATTCGCCCCACGCTTCTCTGTCTGGCATCTGTTACATCTGCCCCAGCTGGACTTGAAAGGAAACCCATTTGTCTTCTAGACTGATAGCAGCTACTGCATGTAAAGCATTAAGCGGCTAATCTTGTGACGGTTTTAATTCAGTTTTGATTAATTCTAAGCGCGTGTCGTTCCGCTCTTTCAGTTTCTCCTCCACGTCCCCAGTGAAGAGGCTGGTTGATTTCTTACAGCCGGAATCCATTGAGGTTCTGTTCAGTCGAATTGAATGTGGCGTCTGAGTCAGTCTGGACGCGTGAAGAACGCTTGGCTGTCATTCTGTCAGGCCAACCTGGACTCCACAAAGTGCGCAGATCTGAGGTCGACCGACCAAATCATCCCCATCTCAACGGCCTGTGTTCCTGATGGTCTTCACTTCGATGGATCCTCCCTTTCCCCGATCCTCTAGCACATAGACATGGTAATGGACGTGATTGGACATAATTGGCTGAATCAGGTGTGTTGCAGGCGAAGTACCAAAAATGGCTGGGAATAGGTAGGAGCCAATGGACTAACAAGTATCAGCTGTTCTTCAGCAACAGACAGCATTGTGAAGGATTTTGTTTTTATATCCTGTGATGTACCAATGCTGGTAACAGTGTATGACCTCTGTAATAAACTGCTTTTCATGAATATTTATTTTAGGCTCTTTGTTGAATTATTTCCTGTTATTTCCTGAGATTCCATTACGTGTATGATGCATGTTCCCTTGGACACATTTCAGTTAACTAGTTAGACCCTCAGTCATATATGCTCCATTACGGTAAATTTTCCATCTGTCTATCTGTTATCTGCCGCTCATCTGGGGTCGGGTCGTGGGGGCGGCAGGCTAAGCAGGGATGCCCAGACCTCCCTCTCCCCAGCCACCTCCTCCAGCTCCTCCGTGAGGATACCAAGGCCTTCCCAGGCCAGCGAGATATACACTCTCTCCAGTTTGTCCTTGGTCTGTCTGGGGTCTCCTCTGGGTTGGACGTGCATGAAACACCTCCCCAGGGAGGTGTCCAGTGGGCATCACTGACAGATACCCAAACCCCCGCAGCTGGCTCCTTTCACTGCGGAGGAGCAGCGGCTCTGCTCCGAGTCCCTCCCGGATGCCGGAAGCTGCAATGCTGCTGCTTGTTGGGACATGTACATTATGGGATGGTAAGCGCGACAGGTCTGGTCTTCAGGGATCCTGGCTCTATATGTACACTGCCAGTTAAAAGCTTTTGCACAGGTTTTTGCCACTTTTCCATTCTTTTTGTAAACCACATTTTTGTTATTCTTGCTAAGCACTGGAAAGTTGAAAGGACAACTAAATGAAAATTTAACTCAAGCAATACAAGTTTCCTTTATAACATGTAAGAGTATGTAACAGTGCATGTCTGACATCCTATTAACTGGTTGTGTGGTGATGAGTCAAATTATAGGCTGTCCTTTAACTTTAAATGCACCTGTTATGTGTTTCATCCCATGAAACAGAGCAGTATTCAATGTCCCTTGTAGAAAGAATGCCTTGAATTTTCTCTGCTGTTATAATTGTTAGAGGAGGTTACTTTGATGAATCAAATATATGACATTTTCTTGTTAATAGAAGTACTGAAATGGTGAACATACTGTAAATACTGTTTATTTGTTAGCAATTTTTAGTAAACACTGAGTGAGTAACTTGCAAATGTTGAAAATCTCAGTTTGTGAAGAAACTTTTGACTGGCAGTGTACCTTTGGCCCCTCTGATCCACTCAATGCCCAGTTTGGGCCCAGTTTGGGCCCAGTTTGGGCACCTTTAGATCCGTTCATAGAATTATGCTGTCATATGGAAAGCATTAATTTTTTTTACCATATTATGCCATGTTAGATATGTGTAACATTTTTGATTAACACAATTGACATTCCTTAAATCACCTGATCTGAATTGTGTAATCCATTTAGTGAATAGTTCAATCAAGCCTAATTACTCTGCAGAAAACTGAACCGTTAATCGTCATACAGGGCGTACTGCACGCCTTCGGGTGTGGAAATGCTTTGAAGGCTTGCATACAAAAGTTCACATGACTATACTTATGCTGTTGTTGTATTACAGCTGCAAAATACATTATATGAATAAGAGGACCAGTTATTCCCCTTAGATACTGAAATGTCTTGTAGGGTGGCACAGAAACTCTTTCAGCATGTTAATCATACGTTGATGATTAAAAAACATAAAGCATTTTATTTAAAGAACAGTGGTCATTATTGACACCACAGCACAGAGTGCACAACAATAAAATGTGTCCTCTGCATTTAACCCATATGTGACATTGTGACATAGCAGGGGGCAGCTAATTCAGCGCCCGGGGAGCAGTGCTTGGGGGCGGTACCTTGCTCAGGGCACCTCAGTGGTGCCTTGCTGGTCGGGGATTCGAACCAGCAATCTTTAAAATTACAAGTGCGCTTCCCTAACCATTAAGATGCAAAATGCTTAATGCTTTTTATGAACATAAATGTCTTATATTTTCTGTTTTGTGAAGTGTTTCATTATAATCTGCTGTTCTTGAGCTTAAAGAAATTACATTTGCTGAACTGACTTGCAATAACAAAGGTTTATCTTAAATGTTCAGTTTTATTTTCCCGCTACCCTGTCTTTAAGCAGGTTACCATTTGTAAATGCGTTGAAATGATGTTGGCATCTTTTGGAATCTTCCTCAAGTTAAGTAATGTAATGTAAGCACCACTTTCTTAAAAATTTCTACACATCATATCCTTATGCGTTTCTCAGTCATGCATGTAATAAATAAAACTGTCTTCATTGACAGATCTGCATTAACTTAAATAACTAGGCAAGACGTCACAGCAGCGATAGATGTGGTGTGGCTCAGTGGGCTAAGCCTGTGTGCCTGTAATCAGAAGGTTGCCAGTTCAAACCCAGCCTTTTGGGGTCCTTGAGCAAGGCCCTTAACCCCAGCTCCTTGGGTGCCCCAACAGGTGGCTGCCCTTCATGGACAACTTACTCTACAAAGAGTAAGTTGAAGGAGGAATGAAGACAATTTCCCCACAGGAATCAATAAAGTGTCGATAATTATTATTATGGAGGTGGGATTAGGGTTAGTAGGTTAAGACTCTGCTGTGCCTGTGATCATAAGGGCACCAGTCCAAATCCTATGACAGAGTAATTTCACCATTAGACTCTTGGGCAAGATCCTGAACTCAGATTGCGCCAGGAACTGGCTGATCCTACTTTCCTGAGTATGTCACTTTGGGTAAAAGCACCTGATGAATGTGAATGTAATCGTTACGATGTCACCTGATGGCTGTTGGTGGACATTCAGAGGAAGTTGATCTCTCATGTTTGTGAACTTCACTGAGTATCAGTAAGTGAATTTCAATCAACGGCCGTAGCCTGTCAGCAGCTTCCTCATTACTGATCATTTACTGTATGAATGTTACACAAAGGAAGTGAGAATTGCATCAGCTATGTTGTGACGCAAATGATTGCTCGTCAACTCTATGGCACAGGCCGCCTATTGGATACCGGCAAAAGCTGTGAATGAGGCCTTTTTGCAGGTGTGAAAATGTTCAGCCTGTGCCAAAGATGCCTGACTGGTTCAGCAGTAAAGAGCAGCTTTTCAGATACGTTTGTGAGAGCTCTCCTGAGGCAGGTGCTCGGGATTAGGGCATTGTGTTTAGGAACAGTTACAAAAAGGACTTAAGGCTCCCTTAAAATTATATATTTACAGTGCATTATACGTTTACAATGCACTGTGTTTATGTATTCATTGTCGTAATTGTACTCATATTTATTGTCTTATTGACATAAGTTCTAGAGTGCACTTTGTGTACTTGTGTTTTGTGTTTAATTGGCGTTTACCAATGGCTGGGATGACATGCAGAACAACATTAAGTCAAATTAAGTAAATTGTGAGTCATTGTGTTGACTGTTTACTCTGCATATGACAATGAACTCTTGAAAATCTTTTTTTTTTTAGTTTTAAAAAATATCAAGGCTGTTTCAATCTAGCGTCACTCCTGAATCTGGTGGAGTTTTAGGAGGATGATGAAAGAATTTGTGTGTGTGTGTGTGTTTGGTCCAGGTATTCCTTACCTTGTGGGGACCACGTGATGAATACCCGTTGTTTTTTTTTTACCTTATGGGGACCAGTCTCCTGGTCACCATATGGGAAAACTCTATTTCATAAATATCCGTTACTGCAATGAAAAACTTAAACATGCAAAAACTTTTGTATTTTATTAGCATTAGCATTTTTCCCATAGAAATAAATGAGCGGTCCCCAAAAAGATATGATTACATGACTGTGTGTGTGTGTGTGTGTGTGTGTGTGATCAAGTGGGCAGCTCACCCTCTTGTGAGGCCTCATCTCCTTTGTCTGCTGCTAGTGCGAAGGCAACTGAGCATATCTGATAAAGGACTCTGGAGTAATTACTCATTGGAGTTTGATTTCCTCCATAATGTAGAGTGTAAAACATGCCCACACATGCAAAATGCATCACCAGACCGCCGGTTAAGTGACTTTTATGGCAAAAACATGCAGAGGGCGTTGCCCAGTCTGCCAAATAAGACACGCATCCATTGAGAATGTCCGCTGATGTTAACAGAAACGTAAGTGGAGATAATTTCAAAACCAATATATTGCGTAACTTGTTCTGATATACAGCTCTGAAAGAATTAAGAGACCACTTTATGTTTTTTAATAATCTGCATTTTAAAATCCGAGTTTAATCACAGTTATACTGGCAGAAGGCTACATTGTGAGGCAGGTTGCTTCCTGGCTCAAAGTTTCTAAGGCCACAGTACAGAAGAACAAGGTGAAGCAGGAGATGCTGGCAGTAACCAAAAACCAGACAGGTAGAGCGCAGAAGCAACTTTCTAATGTCTTTCTAATGTCAGAGATGACTGTCAACTTACCCAACAGTGCCTCGTAAATCAGAGGACAACCTTAAGTGGCCTAAAAAAACAATGAGAAACATTAAGTGCAGGTGTGAAGTGCACAGCTAGGACAGTTCATATCAGGATCCTAGAAGCAGGACTGAAGACCCACAAAGCAAGGAAGAAGCCCTTCATCAATGAGAAGCAAGGATGAGCCAAGCTGGAGTTTGCAAAAAAAGATTTATATTTTACATAGACACATTCCCATAACCTGAAAAATTAGTAAAAGTGAAAATTTTGCTGTGGTCTCTTTAATTTTTTCAGGAGCCGTAGACTGAGTGGGAACCTGATCAAAGTGTGTTATCTGGTGTCCAGGTTGTTGGTTTAGGATGGTTAATAAGACTGCAAAACACACAATACAAACTCAAGGGGGTGAAAAAAAGAAATGGATTGTATTAATTGCCTCATAAAAATGTAAGTAAATGTTCTGCAAGGTGTCCAGTCAGGTGAAAGACACCCGATTGCCTTGTGTGATGTGTGACCAAAGCCTCCCACCTCTGAGCACTTTCTGTGGGTCTGCTTTCCTCCCCCAGTGAATTTCATATGTGAGACAGTAAAAAAGTATTTTTTCATTATTGAAATTTAATAAGAGGAGCCCATGAGTGTCCATCTGTCCGTCTTCCAGCTGCTTATGCTGGTCCTGCTCGCAGCTAATGCCAGTGTAATGCCACTGAGTTTTCTAATCACTGACCACATTTCAAAATTAAGCCAACGAGGACTTCAAAACAAAAGATTACATACGGCATTTACCGGGTGATTTCCCTTTCTATCAACACACTTGATTGCTTAACATTTAACCTCTTGAACTTTTTTTACAATAAATGTCCTGTGGCCATTGTAAAGAAGGCGTAACTGGAAACAGACAATCGGAATAGCGAAGACCACGTCCGACACATAGCACCCTGTCCCCTTGACCTATTTGAATGCAAATCAGACGATACTTTAGACGGTGAAAGCATTCTACACTTGTGCCGTCGACAGTATCCTGACCGGGAAGATCAGCACCTGGATTGGGAGGTGCACTAAGCGGCACAGTACAGCCCAATGCAGGGTGGTGCATTAAGCTGAATCAGGCGTGTACTCCCTAACCTGCAGGACACCTACAGGAGATGGTGCAGGGACAAAGCTAAGACAATAATGAATAATGAAACCCTCCCCATGAACCGCCTCCTCTCTCTGCTGCGGTCAGAGAGACGCTGCTGCAGCCTGAAGGCCGGCACCGGGAGACTTACAACGAGTTTCGGTGCTGGTCCAAATACTAACTCAGAGCATTTAGCTGACATGTCACTTTATGCCCTTTGTACAGTCACCACACCATTTTGGGAATTCATCATTTTTCTTTTACATCTTCCTGACATAAATACAGTTACTCAAAAATGTGTACATTTGCTTGTCGCTGGGGCTGTACCTCTGTTATTGTACCTTTTAAGGTACAGAAATGGACTCTGAGAAGCATCCCAAAGGTACAAACAGCATTAATGTACCATCAATGGTACAGAAATGTTCCTCAGAGTCAATCTCTGTACCTTTAAAGGTACAATTACCTACAGCTAACGGTACAATTTGCAGAACCTTGAGGGTACAGCCCCAGTGACAAACAAAGGTACAATTTTTGACCATTTTTTCCTGAGAGTGTACTGATATCATTACTTTCGTATTTTTAATTTTTTATTGTTTATATATAAGCATATTGGTTTTTAAATCATATTTATTTTCAGTTTTCTCTTTGTATTGTGCATTTCCATTTGAGCACAATCACTATACTGCACTACACATCTTGTGTATGTTCGTGTATGTGACAAAACTTGAAATTGATTTTTTATATACATACTATTAAATACTATTATCACATAAAAGAGATTAATTTTCTCAAGTTTCCTTTGTAAATTGTGCTGGGAACATGCAATTCCATCCAGCCATCGCGTTATTCTGTTCAAGGTCACCTGGAGATTGTTTCCTGGAGGCGTGGGTTCGAAACCCACTTCTGACAAATGCTTGGTGCTGTCTTAATGTTTAAGGAAGTGCACTAGTGATTGAGTGATTGCTGTTTCGAATCCCCAACCAGTGTGGTATCCTGAGCAAGGCACTGCTTCCTGGGTGTTAAACTATCTGCCCCCTGCCATGTCACATATTGGTTAAATGCAGCGAACCCATTTTGTTGTTGTGTGCTGGTACGTACTGTAGTGTGTCAACAATGACCACTGATCGCCAAATTCTAAATTCTAAGTGGCATCAGTCACAAGAGTGGGTTTTGGATGGGATGTCTGTGCAATCGATCTGTACACCCCCTCCCTCAGAAAATTTTGGCCCTTGGTTTTGTATCATTGATGGAATTTGGCTCTCAGGGAAAATAATTAAGAAACCTTATTGCATTACCGAAAATGATTGATAATATGTATTTTTATACCAGTGTATTTTAAAATGAAGTTTATCTGATAATGGTATCAATAATGATAATGCAAATCATAAACGACGTTTTGAAATCCAGATAAGTGGAAACTGAGTCACGCTGTTGCCATTGGCTTGCTCAACGGCGTCTCTCATTGGCTGATGGCTGCCTGGAGTTGATTGGCTGCCAGGAGGCCCAGGTCTGAACAGCTGGAGAAGTGCAACTGAGAAACTTCAAGATCGTTAGAGTCGCGCATCCCTCCGTGTCCCGTGGCGTCTTTCCAAAGCGCGTTATCGGGGGAAAGGGACAGGACCACAGGCTACCGAAGGCTGGCTTTTCTGGGCTCCGGGACGTTGATTTTTTTTAACTCACATTTCGCTCAGCTTGTCCTATTGATCTTTGTCCCCAAGTTAACAGGAAACGAAGGTATTATTATTATTATTATTATTATTATTATTATTATTATTATTATTACTTGTTTGCTGTCAGAAAGTAAAACGGTGAAATAAGATAACGCATTATCGCATTTACAGTCCATTGGTTATTTTTGTCACTCTTTTATATTCATATTGTTTTGCAGTCTGAAAGTGGGATGGAATTGCGGTAGAACAATGTTATTAATAGTTTATATGTATATGTGTAAAATAGTTCTTTTTTGTGTAGCGAGCAGACTGTTTGAAGACGACGTGCACGTGTAGCACGTTTATCTGACAGTTACATGCTAATTACCAATTTATCGATGTAAATTTTTGTTGTTATACCATGGCACTGTTGAATTGTCGAATCTGATTGTTCAGAAGGGAGCTGATTTATTTTCTATAACTGCACGCAAGCGCCGGCCAGGCGAATCACAGTCGCAAATCAATGCATGATTATAATCTCTAAATTTAACTAGGGTTACTTAAAATTTCAGAAGTATTTAAAATGTAAACTATAACAAGAAACTGATACACACAGCACGAGTGCTTCAGGTTGAGGACCAAGACCTATGTTCCGTGGTTTAATAGGCATACCAAAATCATTTGCTGATGTAATACACTTGTTGCCCAGTCGTACATTACAGTCCTGTGTAACCTGCCTGAACGGGATGGTGCGCGAGTCCGGTGTTAGTAATCGGTAAACTGTAAAAAGCTCGAGTTTTACCCATAACTCAGTTGAATACCAATAGGTACATAACACTAAATTAACAGAATAATAGCAGTATATGTTTACATTTACCACTGCAGCCAGTGTTTAAAATTGGACAGCTTGGAGTGCATTAACTACACACTTGACCTACATGTTTGTACCTAAAGCCTGGCCTTCGGGCTTAGCAATGGGCAGTTTCTAATTAACGACTCTGTGGGGCGGTTCTTCGCCTCTGCAGCTGTAATGTATGGCTTGTCGTGCATTAAATCTTACTTAATCAGCTCCTGTTTCATCCTTCAGAGGACTTTGTGGTTTTGGCAGTCCATGACACCGGTGGAGCTGGCTGTGAGGTGCTCATTCAGCCGTAGTTCCTGACCCTGAGCCAGATGCTGGACGTCTCCTCCCTTGGCGAGAACCTCCGCAACTCCCAGCTACCCCCCAAAGAACTCCTTTTGTCAGGAACCCATCAGGTGCTTCCCACCATGGGCAAGGAGCAAGTGCAGCAAGCCGCTGGTACGGCCTGCAGCATGGCAAAGAAGAGGCGCGTGGTGTTTGCCGACTCCAAAGGGCTCTCCCTCACGGCAGTGTGCGTCTTCACAGCCGAGGAGGTGATCCCGTACCCCAAACTCACACTGTCACGCCAGCCAGTTACACTCAAGGAGGCGCCACCTGCTGGCTCCACCGGGCATGACCGGGGCTCATGGGGAAAGAGGCGGGTGCATCTAGGCTTTCCTCAGCCCTCGTCAGACTTCCAGTCCTTCCGCGCACAGCTGCAGGGAGCCCAGGTGGCGCTGGAGAGCTGCGCCGTGACGGAACTCGCCCTCAGCGGCACGGTGCTCGTCAAGAACGTCAGCTACCGGAAGGACGTGCGGCTGCGCGTCACCTTCGACTCGTGGCGCAGTCACCGCGACGTGCCCTGCGTCTACCTACACCAAGGCTACTACACTCCGGATACCGACACCTTCACGTTCAGCGTCCCGCTCCCCGAGAGCCTGGACCCCCAAGACCGGCTCGAGTTCTGTGTGTCCTACCTGCCGGGAGGGTATGACACCCCTCTGTGGGATAACAATAGGGGACAGAACTACCGCATTCACGTTGACCCTGAGAGTGTTGACCCGAGCAGCGAGTTGAGCCGCGCCCCCCCGACAGTTGCCTGTGCGCTTAGACACTTGGGGGCTCCACAGTGCTGGCGCTGGCGGCCTGGTTCAGATTACCTAACACTCCCCCATTCATTCAGCTGCCCCGACCTCCTGATGGGACACTGCTGGGACATGCTGGGGAACACTGCCCCCTTCTGGTGAGAAGGACAACCCCAGCTGTCCACTCCTACATACCTAATACACCCTTGAAGCAACTCTGACTTTTGCTCCAACCCCTTCAAACAGCAGTTTACTAGGTTATTGATTTTAGAGGAACACTATTTTCTCCCTGTATGGTACTCAAATAGAAACCACTCACTGCAACATTTGTGAACTTATTGAAAATCTGGGGTAGCAGGAACACAACTACCCTCCAAGTCAAAATCAGCTCTTTAGTGTTGGTCCTGCCAGAAATTGGACACTGACATACCCTGCTATGTCAGCACGTGGCCACAGTCCTTTGTGCAGTTTCCTTTTTTTTTCAAATCACTCTGTGGTTTCATTTGAATCCTTTTGTACTTGTGTATAATGGACATTACATTTGCAGAAACCTTCATTTGCCCCTTCTGTTGTAAATGAAGCAGACAAATGTGGTGTATATTGCTGGTGGTTTCTCTTTTTTGTAAATAAACTAATTTATAATAATATTGGTTGCTGTTATTTTAGAGCATATAATCAAAAAGACAGAAAATATCTGTAGTATACTGTGTGTGTGTGCTGTGTATACAGTATATTACTGATATTTCCTATCTTTTAAAATAAATAATCTCACAGTAATATAATGTGAATGGATTCATACCATTTGTCCACAGGACTGAAATTTCAGATATCTAGAAACGTAGCACTGATCAAATTGTATACTGGGATCTGTTTCTAGCAATCTGACTGTATTACCCTTGACTTATATTTCAGATGTGAGTTGGTGTTTTGTGGATTGAATGTTGATGTTTTGTTGATTTAATCAATCAACCAACCAATCAATCACTTCCTACCTCATTTACTCTACAAAGGTTGGCCAATCAAGGATAGTATATATAGACATAGGTGACTCAAGCGGGTGGTCCACAATAACTCTCTGTGTCTTCTTTGCCCTGTACATAGTATATTCCAGTTGGATGAAATAGTTATTTTCTAAGGTAATATATCACCAGTCCTGTAATATTGGAGAACTACTGCATGAATACGTTTTGAATACAGCCAGCTTGTAACCCAGGGAAGGGCTTTGATGATAAGAAATGAAAACCTGAAGCACAGATTCCTCGCTCCAAGTCATTAATCAGGCCACAGTCAGTTGCACGCAAGTAGAGTAACAAAGGAAAATGTGTCAAATGCAGAAGAATCAGAAACCGGAACTTATGGAAGTAAGAGACAAAACTTTGCGAGAGAAGTCATGGGGGATTTTAATGGGTTTGAATCCAAATAGTTAAAGAGACAGAGGTGAAAACACCAGTCTGGTTAGTATTCGGGAAGCGATGACGGCTGTGTGGGTGTTACTGAAACACGCAAGGGTGCAGCTGATGCAGCAGGAAGCTCTTCCTGTGGTTCTCCCCTGAAAGGAGCTGGTGTGTGCTTATCGGCCTTCGCTGGTACGGGCCGTGTCAGACCGCGAAAGCTGCCCGGTCCCCCTCAGCCGTGCCCCCTTCCAGTGTCATGCTGGGCTCCCATTTCGCTGCAGGACAAACGAGACGTCGAGCAGCCCTGCAGTTTTAAAGCACATTCCCCAAATCTGTGTCAGGAGGTAAGACTAAGAAGAGCATCAGCAACTGTCATGTTGTACCACGCTGGTGTCGGGCTGTTAGCTGGCCAGGCTAACAGGTCTCATCACGGCCGAGTGACACAGCCTGTGCAAAGCTCAGGCAGATACTTGAAGACAAACCAAAGCCGCACAGGATGTTGCCGTCAAAATGACAACAAGAGTTGCTGCTAGTCAGCACGTACGCAATGGGTCACATGATGGAGGATTTCAGGTTTTGGTAAAGAGACAAGGGCAGACATGTCTGTGGTTTTTATTGTAATTGCTGTTCATTTAACTACTGGGTCTCTGCCATTTCTTGGCAGGTCCATGGACCTTCATAAACTATTTGAAACTATTGCGAAAGCAAACTTATTGCATTCCGAAGAGCAATGCCTTTCTAGAGCGACTTAAAGTTGTAGTATTTTGTTTGTTTTTTTCCAAAAGAGAATATTGCAGCTTGGTAATAATCCTATCTTACGTGCAACCATGTCTTGGCAGGGTGTGTTGCTTCTGGTTCAGGTGAATTGTCATTTGCGTGATTGCTGTGAAGGACCGGTGCCCTCAGTTTCCTGTGGCAGGCTGGCTCTGACCATGCACTCGATATGAAGCCCCCCTCCACCCCCAGCTCGTCATTTTCTCCTCAGAACCCCAGGGTACTGCTCATGTTTCTGTACAAAGTCATGTGTGTGTGTGTGTGTGTGTGTGTGTGTGGTCCAGGTATACCTTACCTTGTGGGGACCAAATGTCCCCACAATGTGATGAATACCCATTTTTTATTTTTTACCATATGGGAAAACCACATGGGATTTTATAAAAATCTGTGACCGCAATGAAAAAACTAAAAATGCAAACACTCATGTTTTGTTTGGTTACTTAAGGTTATGGTTGTCATAGTTAGCATTAGCATTTTTCCCATAGAAGTGAATGAGATATGATTACACGACTGTGTGTGTGTGTGTGTGTGTGTGTGTGTGTGACAGGGAGATTTTCACTGCAACCTTAGAGTTCCCATCTGCGACAAGGACAAAAAAATATTGCTAACTCTGGAAAGTCACGGGGCCTCCCTGCAAGAATCTCCCGGGTGGAGGGGGGGAGAGATTTGGGGATGGGGGTGTGATACCGCAGTATAAATTGGAGCTGACGGGGTAGCTCTGCTGAAATGCCAGAAATGCACATTGGCCTGCCTCCCCTTCACCAGGAGAGACAGCCACCTGCCTCCTGTGCTGAATGCAAAGCTCTGCTGCCCTGCCTTTCATGCTGCCGTCCCGTCCCCCCCCGCCACTCCCCAGCGCTCTGATCCAGGCCGGTGTGGAGCAGAAATCAGCTCCACAGTTCAAATCCCTTTATCTCCTTTAAATGTTACGTCCACCCTGCACATGCCTCACATCAGAGTTAATTAGTACCACCTAGTGGTTCTAATGGTGAGATGATTGACTGCTTCAGATAGAGCAGAAAACTCTTCAATCATGCTTTTAAAAATCTATATCCCTCCCATTCTGTTAACACCCCAGGGTGAGATTTGCTGATCAACAGACCTGGTTACTATTGTCATGCATGGTGATGTGATCTCTTTTCCGTATAGTACATCTTATTGTTAAACTGTGACTGATAAAAATAACTGATTTTTGTTTTGTTTTTTTTTTTTAAAAAAAAAGACTTTTCATTTCAAGGTCATTTTGAGAGTCCGCGAGGCATTTCCTGGCGCGGGGGTCGAGCGTGAAGCTACGCAGTTGTGGAATATGCTGCACATTCCCTATGTAACAGAAATGTGATTTCTCTGAATCTCATCTCAGCTTGGCATACGTAGGGATGTGTCACAGGATAACAAACACAAACATTTAGTGTTTTACAAAATGCACTTGGCTGAAAGGCGTAGATGGCAAGTTCATGTAACATAACACGGTCAAGAATGTGTGTATAAATAATAACTCTGATCAAACATACACCCCAGTATACACAGATCACAAGACTCATCCTAGCTTTATTGTGTGAATATTTGTTACGGCCTTATTGAAACACTACTGGTGGATGATGCGTCTCTGTTAGATTAAAAGTGCTCGTTAGCATGACCGATACATAGATGTCCTCGATCTGACATAAAAGCTTAGAGAAAGAGAGGGATGCTACGTCTGAAATCTACGGCTGGCACCTCATGCAGGAAGGTTCAAATTTCTGCCTCGTAGATCTGAAGATTTAGCACCTTGGAATGTCTGTCGTTTTGAGATTCTCAATTTCCACACAGGCAGCACAGCGGTCTGTGGCATCTTCTGTCAAGAGGCCGAACAGCTTGTTTAATGGATAAAGGCCAGCAAATGAAAATAGATTTTATCTTTACATTACATATTTTCCTCTCTTTTTCCAAAATATAAATCACATACATCTAAACAGACTAACCATGCATACATATATCTTGTAAGATGATGAAAAAAGGATTCTAGCATTCACGATTTCCTCAGTACATTTGATTCGATGAAATCTCTGTGAGTTCATCAATCCTCTTCTGTCCATGGTAAGTAGATTATAGTCGAAGAATGCCACTAGAGTTGTTTATTTTCTGTAAATATCTGCAGCTGCACTATGGAACAACACTGTCAAGAGAGCTTAATTATTTTGAACAGGCAGGAAGCAACAGTGAAAAATGAACTGAAAGACTATACAGGATGCAATCTATGCATAGTATATACAGTGATACCAAATATGTGCCTTAAACTGGATTTGATGGCCACATTTTGGAAGTTTACCAGTTAAGAATCTGGTGAATCGAGCAGTGAACGTTTTGGCCCGTTCCTGGGCATGTTTGCAGAGGGGCACAGGTGAAAATTAAGACTTTTTGCCATGTGACCTGATGCAGGGGTACCAAATCGGGGGACAAAGTTAGGACAATTCCAAGGGCGCCAGAGTGACAGGAGCCCTAAGAAAATTGGAGCAAACTTGGATTGGTCTGGGGTGAGGGGCCCAATGTGATATCTTTTCATGGGGCCCAAAAGCTCTAGCCGTGCCCCCGGCCTGCTGCTTAACAGGGGGTGGAAAGTGTGACGGGGTTAGGGTTCGCATTCTGGGAGGATTTGGGAAAGGGTTCGGACTCCAGGAGTGTTATGGTTATCAGCCACGGACACACCGGCCTAGATAGCAGTAGTGGGGAAACACACAACTTGATTAAGGAATAAAACTGTAACTGTCCTTTGCTTTGAGTGATGGGAGAGAATCATTGATAAAATCCAGTTCTCCATCCTCACTGTATCCTCATACCCATGCACAGAAACAGCCAGGGCAGACTGCCTGCCAGTTTGTCAGGTTGAGTTTCATTCCCTGCCTTTGGCCTTTGACGTGTTAGAGAGATCAGCCCTCTTAGACCCCGTCCCTCTCATTCAGCGTCCAACACTGATGTTGCACACCTTGCAGCTGGGGTCCTTCTTGGCGTTGGCGGTGGACAAGCTCATCAGCTGGTGACCACTGATCTCCACCAGTGTGCCCTGGTCCAGGTGCAGTGGCTCTATGTAGAACACCTCCAAGATGACGTCGCGGGCGTGGCAGTAAACCGGCTCCTCCCCCTCCCTCTGTGGTGGGTTGTATGTCAGGAAGGGGTTTGCCGCAAGGTCCAGCTGGGGCAAGTGGGCGCGGCAAAAGCGATCGCCCTCCGAGCCGGCAGTGGTCAGCACAAGGATGACATAGTGGTAGGGTGTGTACATGCAGTAGAAGTCGGCAAAGTAGAGGCAGGCGGTGGAGGGGTGGAGGAGAAGGCGGCGGTGAAGGAGGAGGCAGGCGGTGGAGGGGTGGAGGAGAAGGCGGCGGTGAAGGAGGAGGCAGGCGGTGGAGGGGTTCAGCAGCTGAGACGCGGGGATCTGGAAACGCAGAGGGCCGTAGGGCGAATCTCTGGGGGGCAGGCCGGTGTCGAACTCTGTGTTACAGCTGAGAAAGACTCCGCTGAGTGTACCGTTGATGGGAGAGCCGTGACTACCGCTGCTGTCTTTGAGGGAGGGGTACATCACCCCCGCACATGATGACCTACGAGAGAGAAAAAGAGAGAGAAGGATCACAAAAAAAGCAGAGGATACAGGAATTGTACAGTACAGAGGGAATAATGCTTATCAAAGGACTGCAAAACAGCTTGAAGCAGGTGGTATCAAAATAGATCATTACAACCAGGGACTTTCCGGAAAGGTACCTGATATAGTGGAAGTATTCTGGGTGCTGGTTGCGGTAGAAGACAGAAAACCTCAGAAGTCTCCCGGCAGCACCCTCAGCCTTCTGGAGAAGCTGCTGAAGATGGACTGTACCGTAATCTGCGGCGCCAGAAACACACAGAGAAACAAAGTGGGGCGTCAAACTCACATCAGTTTGCTCACATCAAAACCTGGCCTTTCATTGGATGTGTACTGAGCAGGAGGACTGCAGTCGTGGCAAAGATAGCAGAATATCTGGTCCTATAAAAGTACAAGTGCAGTATTAGCTTATAGCTCTCAGCCACCCGTCATCCAATCCCCATCAGCTCCTCTCTGACCTTCTCCAGAACCTGGTCCCTCCAGGCTTCTCCTCCTACTCACCTCCAGTGTGGAACTCCACCACTGGGCTCCACTCTGACACCAGGTAGTCAGCCCCCTCTGGCTGCCTGACCGCCGTCTGAACCGCCACACAGTACTCGGTCCGTGGGCTCAGGAACCAGTGACCCCGCACAGCCATGGGAAGGGCACCCGCTTTGGCTACCAGCTTGGTCGGCACATCCTGTGGGGAGGGCAGGCGATTAAGAAGTCAGCATACTGGAAAAAAACTGGAGATGTATAGAGGTTTCAGTTAATAAATATAATGCATCAGAATATATACTGCTTTGATATTTTGTGCTAAGTCCAGTGTTTCCCAGTCCGGTCCATGGGGACTCACACACAGTCCTCGTTTTTGCTCCCAGGAGGGAACAAATGTGAGGAGGGAGCAAAAACAGGGACCAGCTGTGGGCCCCGAGGACCAGATTGGGAAACAGTGCTAAGTCAAGCTGAGTCAATAGCCTGTAAGACATTTCAAAGCTGAATCGATCTGTGCTGACTAGATTAGGTGTTTAATCAATTTAATGGTTTGTGTAGAATAAAAGCTTCTATTGTCTCTCAAATACTTTTTTCCCAAACCGGCATAAGATCCATCCATCCATCTTCTGAAACTGCTTGAGCCTGCAAGGCAGGGAATTACCCAGGAGTGGGGAACCAAACCATCACAGGGCACACTCACACTCACACACACTCACACTCACACTCACACACACACACACACACACGGGCAATTTGGTATCTCCAGTCATCCTTTTATGTCCTGTTTCAATGTTGGTTTTTTTTGTTTGTTTTTATCTGTTTTTCAGTGGTTAGACCTGCACGTCCTCTTTCCAGCGAATTTGTGACTTTGCTTTGTTCTGTCCTGGTTACGGGCTCAATAAAGTTTTGGGGTAACACTTTACTTGGGTACAAATAGCATTGTATTATGTTATTACTTATGTATTAATTAACCACAAACTAAGTCTTAGTTACATATTGATCTCAAGTTAATTCATCATTAATGACTCGTGATGCATCTTCTATCTTAAGCAGTTACTGTATTTGTTACTATATCTGTTAATTCTGTAAGCCTTTTTAAATAACTGAAGGAACAACAAAGCCATGAATAACACAAGAAATACTGATCTGTGCTTGTTCAGAATTAATGAATCGTGATGCATCTTTTATCTCATGCAGCCACTATATTTGTTCATGATTTGTACTTCAGGGGTAACTGAGTTATTACTAAGTATTTGTGTCCCATCAAGTAAAGTGTTTTTGGCAGCTACACCGAAACACGGCATCACACAGCTTTAAACAATGTGCTGTGTAGCTTTAAATTAAGATTACATAAAAGACAACAGAAGTAAAGACATTTGCCTCACACCAGCACTGGCAAAGAAACAGAGGTTTAAATGAAGACTGTCGAAGGCGTATATAGAGATGCCAGGAAGTGTCACAAAAGAGAGAGTAACAAATCTGTGCAAAATCTCCGATCGAAATGCTGTCATTTTCCCGACTACCAACAAATTAATTTTAAGAATAGAAGTATTGATATAATTTCCTCCATTTTTACATTTCAAGACAATGTTAATTAAATTTTAGCCACGTCCACTATCAATAATGACCAATTCAGAACCTCAGATTGACTTTCAGAATCATGGTTTCTATTCATCTTCCATGCCACATAGACACAGTGCCAGCCTGGAGTCCATCCCAGGCAGCAGAAGGCACCAGGCAGGGGTGCCCCTTGGACAGGGCAGCCCATCACGGGTCACACAGTACCACACACTACGGGCAATTTACAGAGGCCAATTCACCTAACCGCATGTTTCTGGACTGGAGAACATGTAAACTCCACACGCCTGAAGAAGGACAGGATTCGAACCCCCAGCACGGGGTCAGTGCTCCCCACTGAAGCACACTGAATGGAGGTATTCCAACTAAAATATCATGATATCAATGAACCAGTTAGAATTTCTCTTCATGAAAAATCCCCTTCTAATTCTGTAACCAGGTGACAAAATACACATTTTGTATGAATTGAACTATAGCCTACATAAAATTCTCAGTTTAATTCACAAATCACCATGACCATGGATTCAAATTAAATATTTATAATTCAGACTGCATCAGTCGCTGAAATTATCCATTAATTGTATTTCTTTTACACCCTCTGGTTCGGGTCTGAACTGACAGTGCATATGGACGGTACTCAACGCAACGGAGGCTCAACACAGCCCCCCTCCAGGGTCCACGGGGTTCGGCCCCCTCCACAGTGTTCAGCTCGGGGGGCTTAAGGCCATTCAAGAGGAAAGAAGCGACAGTGAGTCAGGGATTTATTTTTTCGTCCATTTCTGCGATTCGTCAGGCGCTCTGCGCTCCACCTTTTACTGGGGATTGCTGTTGATATCACTGAGTAATCTTCCTGTAACAGCACTTCAGGAAAATGCAAACTGTTCCTCCACCCACGCATTTCATTTGCAACGCCATGTAAACAGTTTAGATACACTGTGATTTATTTAATTGCAATTATAATTCATTTCATCGTTTAATTGTGAGAATTGATGTAGACACAGGTTTTGAGAGGATTCAACGTGAAACAGTCCATTGAATCTGGAAAATATGGAATCTGAGAGGAGGGGAGGAACTGAGAAAAGTGTGGTTTGGGGTTTGGCATAGAAGAGGTTTGATGAGGCCAACCCTGTGTTTGAAGCGATTTGGGTCCCTGCCCTCCTTGCGGCTCAGGTCGATGAAGTAGTGTGTCACACGGCCCACATCCTCTGGCGCCATGTCCCAGCCGATGCGGAAGGAGTCGCAGGTCACGTCGGAAATGCGGATGTTGTACGGGGTGGAGAGGGACTCCATCTCCGCCATGAACTGGTATCAATACATAAATACAAAGGAGTGAATGAACAAAATGACCCGATACACAAATTACAGAGGGTGGATACAAGCTGATAGGCTCATGAATTTCAGTCTCCCCTCCCGTACAGACCACCACACAGCCAGGCATCGTGAGTGCTCTCACCTGCTTATATCTTATATCCTTCAGCGGGGACTCATTTAGTCTGCAATTTGGGCCGGAGACCCGAACACGATAATGGCAAAAATGTAGACCATGGTTTTTGTTAGCCGTAGCTTTGAGCCTCATCATCCATGTAGCTGTCAGTCATAATTACCCTCCCCCCACCAAAAGAAAATGTTAATGTCACCATAACCATCAGTTTTACCAGCAGAGTGGCGCTTAAGCTGTTTTCACTACGAAGGCAAGGCGCCGTGTCGCCCAGCGTCTGATCAATAGCCAATCAGCCAGGGTGCTGAGCTTTATTAACACTGGGCCCCCTCTCTGTCTGGGGTGGGGGGGTGATCTCACGGATGAGAAACTATGAGGGAAATAAATTGTGAGCGGTGTTGACACTGATGCGTGCACTGCCCCCCCTCACCAGCGCTTGACGACTCATCTCGCCTGGAAAAAATATGCCCCCCCCGCTCCCCACCAATGATTCCTACTCCTACAGTTGGGGGGTTGTGAGGCAACCAGATCTGGTCACAGGTACGGTGAAATTGATGCCAGCCCCCCCCCCACCCCCCACTCCGACACGATTTTCTGAATGGCCTGGGTTTATCGAGGCAGCGGAGTCTCCTGGCAACGAGCTGAAAGCCGCGTCGCTCCCCCCTCCCCGCCTCCCCCTTTCTGAGGGGCATTCCACCCTCTGTGTATCAGTGGCCGCACACATCAGCCCAGCAAAGTTTAATTAGCTGTGCTCTGGTCCACTTGTCTTACATTTCCCTTCTTCTTTCCCCCTTGTCGACCGAACGCAGCGTGTTTTTTTTCCCTTTTCAGTTGGAGCAGGCAGCAAAAACAGCAGCGGCAGCATAACACAGCCCCAAAATCCAGCACAATAGCGTCACATAATGGGTTTTATGGCATTTAAGACACGGGGGTAAATTGAATCGCAGCGGAGCAGGAGGGTGATATATTTCTTTAGAGCGGGCGATCCGGTTGGACGCCTGCAGCCCTTGGGAATGTGGGCCGTTATTCACCGTTCTGCACCGGCCCATCCATCGTGTTTGATTCGCCATCAGCCTCTGCCCTCGGAATCAATAACCCGACTGACGCTTTCCTAAGAAAGACTATTATCTGCCTGTGGAATCTTGACGCTGGCCCACGTCACGCCCGAGGCAGCGAGGGGGGGGGTAGCATGACCTACGAGTGCTTGCTTTGGTGCCGTCGTTCCTCTCCTCTTCTATCACTTTTCCTGCATTTCGCATCCCCTCGCTTTCTGCAGTATCCTCGCCAGAACCCTCCACCTCCACAAACCCGTTCCAGCCGCCGGGCCCCTCGCGGCAGGGGCGGGTCTCCCTCTGGAACCTTCCGTGGCCATGAGTGTGGCGGATGGTCGTTAAGCCCAGTAACATGCGTGACGGTCACCTTCGCCGTGTAAGGACTCTGCGGCCAGCTGCGGCCTCTGTTCCAGCATCTCCACATGACATGATGTAGGGTGACCGGGGGGGGGGGCCTCCCGGGACGGCCCCCAGAGCCCGTGTGACTCGTTCCACTTTCCAGCTGACTGCCGGCCCGTTCGGACATATGTGAACCCTCAGGCGATGCTGGAACTCTCCCTCGCTTGCAACTGTACGCTTTTCTCTGCATATCCCCGAGCGAAGGATGGAGAAGGGAGGGGACACGGCCATTTTGCCATTAAACAAACGCCGCAAGATAAATATAGGGGCCGATAAATCAAACGAAATGAATAAACAACTCGGACCATTTCCTGGCAACTTTACTGCCATTAACGTGCATTAAGTAGCTAAAATGAGCAGGTCGTGTCAGACCGTCTGCTTCCCAAGAGGCTGTAAATTATCGATGTGCGAGTAGCAGCAGTCAGGTCAGTGTCTGCCGACAGTTAGACGCACTTATAAACTCGCAGCTCAGGAATATCGCCTTCAGGATTTTCAGGGCTGCGATTTCTTTTTGTGCAGAGGGCTGACTGCAGGATGCTCTGGAGGTGCATAATGATTCTGGGAGGAGGCGCCGCTGAACGGGAAGGGGAGTTGGGAGCTCTGGGGAGCCGCCGTGGGCTGGCTCACGCTCTCGAGCGCCGGTGCAGGCACTGCTCCCCAGAGGAGCGCATACGGTACCTGAGGGTGCTGACCAACATGCCGGAAAGTTCCACTTTAAGGGGACTTGTGTGAGTGTGTTTGTCATTATTACATTCTCGGGACCAGATGTCCCCACAATGTGATAAAAACCTAAATCATTTTACCTTTTGGTCCCCACAAGGGTAACTTCGGTTTTATAAAAATCTGTGACTGCAATCAAAAAATAAATTTTGTTTGGTTGCTTAAGGTTAGGGCTGGGTAGGAGTTACGGTTGTTATGGTTGGGATTAGGGTTAGGGCTGGGAAGGAGTTACGGTTGTTATGGTTGGGATTAGGGTTAGGGCTGGGTAGGAGTTACGGTTGTTATGGTTGGGATTAGGGTCATGTATAAAAATGAATGGAGAGTCCCCATAAAGATATAAATATGTGAACTATGTGTGTGTGTGTGTGTGTGGAGGGGGGGGGGGGGGGGGTATGTATATATTACATTACCAAATGTCTCCACAATGTGATGAAAACTTGTTATTTTTATATTGAGGGGACCATTTTTCAGGTCTCCACAACGATCTGTGAATGCAATCAAAAAACTAAAAATGCCAAAAATCTTGTATTTTGTTTGGTTATTTTTGCTTAAGGTTAGGGCTGGATAGGGGTTAAGGGTGTCATTGTTGGGATTAGTGTTTTTCCCATCGAAATGAATTGACAGTACCTGTAAAGATATGCAATATGTGCGTGTCTGTGTGTATGTGCGTACGTGTGTGTGAGTGCGTGTGTGTGTATGTGCGTACGTGTGTGTGAGTGCGTGTGTGTGTGCGTGTGTGTCTGTGTGTGTATGTGTGTGTTGGCGGGCTGCTGATGTACAGGAACATTTACAGATTCAGCATACCTACACGATACACATTGAAATGAACCCCAAACAACATGGATATTATATGGAAATGATGTGTACAGAGCAAAGTAGGACATCAAACACTTCAGGGTCATTCTAACTTGCAATTATCCATTGTGATATTTTATTTGTCAAATTGCCCATGCAGACTGAACTGTGACATGAGATCATACATCCTTTCATTTCTACATAGAAAAATACATGTAGACCCCTCGCTTTCTTCATAAATCATTAAATGCCTTCCATTTTGGGCTATGAGATAAATGAGGCTGCTTAAATGTCCAGCTGCTTACTTTGAAAGATCACCTCTGTAACATCGCCTGAAGAGGTGTGCGGTTAGTCACGCTGGTATATAGCGCACACCTCTACGACAAGCACAGGGACGCACAAACAGAGCAAACAGCCCTATGGCACAAGACACTGAGCCCTTAGAGACTAGCATATTAGCACATGGACTGCTGGACTGAAAACAGCACTTATCGTAATGTAACTCCGATAACGCACGCTAACACATCATGCTTACACATCCACTCCCCCTGCATGATAATGACTTACACCCTGCTCAGTTACTTGAAGCCCCGTTCATGCAATTCTTCTGAAGTATGGTCTAAGGAGAACAGCGCGGGTACATATATTTTTTTAAAAAGCTTTACCTTGCTGCAGTAGTGCTGCCTGTAGCAGTAGACAGTTAAAAATCCCTCTTCAGATCAGACGGGAGACCACAGAGCTAAGTGCTAAATGCTCCTAAAATGATTTTGTTTCCTCTCTCACACTCTTGCTTTCTTCACTGCAGTGGATGATAAATCCCTGAGGAAAAACGATTAGGAAGCAAAATAAGCGCCTCTCTCTCTCTCTCTCTCTCTGTGTGTCTCTCTCTCTCTGTCTCTCTCTCGCTCTCTCTCGTTCCCGCTCTCCCTCTCTTCTATTCCTCTCCCGGTCTCTCGTTTCCACTCTCTCTCCCTCTTTCACTGTCTCTCTTTTCCTTTCACAGAGATGGTCATATATCTCTCTCCCTTATCACATCTCTCTCTCTCTGTCTCTCTCTCTCTCTCTTTCAGTTGTTCTGTTTCTTACAGTTATGGAAACCGGTGTTGACTTCACTACCACAGAGCTGCATCGCCTAAATTTTGATCCGCCTTGATATAACGTGCTGTAATGGGATAGAGGCCAAGAACCAGTCACCTACACTTCAACCAGTTAAAAAAAAACACTCCAGTTAGGGCGACAGTAAGGACTCTCAGGAAACATTCACCAGTGTTCTTGGCTCACATGTAACTGCATCTCTTCGCACCTCCTAGTGCCGAAACATCCATCAAAACAAAAGTGTCACAGTGGCAAAAAACGAAAAAAAAAACACAAAATGGTACTTTAGAGACAATCTGATGGCCTCATTGTGAGTGTGCATGTATGACAGATTGAATTGCTATAATTTTTTAGGACTTAACAAACCAATCAGATCCCCCCCCTACTGTCTTGCCTTCTGGTGGAAGCGGTGGATTGAGATGCTCGGGCCCCCCTGAGGTGCGGGGAGGTTCCGGAATGCAGGGATGGCGAAGGGGGGGGGGGGTGCAGATGACCGCATGAGTACAACTGCATGGAGGCCCTGCTTTGTACTGTCCGGAGCTGGAGCCTGTACAGTCTCAGCAGATGCTGCACCATATGGACGTTCTCCGCTGGCCGGTCGCATCGCCTCTTCATTTCCTCCGCCATTCGCAGGGATGGAACAGCACAAAGTGGCAACTCGCAAGTCGACTGCGCCGCTCTTGTAAATCATTAGCGAATGAACAGGTGGGACATTTTTACTCAGAGATTCGCAGCAGAACGAGAACGCTGCCTCTTCATGCTGAAGGCATGAATAATCAATGACGGAACACCAATCTCTCTTAGGAGAGGAGATGAGCATGAAATGGGTCAAAGTGGAGAAGCGCTGCAACAATGCAGCAGTGAAACATGCGGCTGGAAATGATATCAACAGAGAGCAGGAAGGGATGGGAGAATATAAACATAACATACAGCATTTGTATGTTAACAAGAAGCCCATCAGGTGACCCCTCATCCCAAAGCCACCAGCCTGATATTACTTGCACTGACTACAGCTATATATGGCTGAGACTGAGCCCTGTGATTTAAAATGGCGTTTCCAAACACCCCATACATGGCAGCCATGCTGCGGCTCGGTGATCCTGCCCAAACGCAATTAAGATCATGCCATCCGTCTTCGGACTGGGCTTGACAGTGCAGAGGAGCGCAGAGGAAGGGCACAGCATCACTTAACAGCCATATACGCTCTTCTGACCTTCATGGCTTAACAAAAGCCAGAGAGCATGACAGTCTGTGTTAATGTGTTTTTTATTGAACAAACCACGAATTTAGATCTCACTATATTTGGCTCTTTATTTATTGGTATTTAATTGGTATTTTAATATTTCTTAATTATTTTCTTGGATTAATGGAATTAGTAAAAATTGATTTATTTTACTTCTCCACACAGCCGTCACCAGGGTAAATGGTTGGATGGTGGATGATGGATGGATTATTTTGCTTATTTTTCTAAATCCCTGCCTGGGGGCGTAATGATTGCAAATTAAATGTATTTTGTTTAGGTGTTTGATGCATTCAGGGGTGTAGCTAGAAATTCTGACCCAACAATTCCCCACAATAAAATTTGGCAGGCTGTGGGTCCCTCAGTGTATAATTTTTAATTTTGCATATTTAAGGGTCCCTATAAAGTGCTGCCCCCCCGAATCTGCCGGGGTGTTCATGCCCCTCTGACACCCCTGGATACATTACAGAATTTCTTTCAAATCCTTATTTTAATGATATTTGGCATCATACTTCTTATCTATAATGTTTTACATCCTTTGTCAGTAAGTTTGCTGGTTATTCTGCTTTGTGACAATTGTGTAAGAAAGTGATGTCTTCAGGAAATGTTGACAATAATTTCTTAATTATTAATTATTTAGGATTTCTTGCCAAATAATGACAGAGAAACCAGACAAGAAAAGGAATATATCTCAAAAACCACAAACAAAACAAAATCAAACAAAAGAAATATGTAAAACAATACGGGGGAGAAAGCAACGCAGTTTATAAAATATTAACTATACAAGACTTACATTTTGATTCACATGCCTTTGATTCACACGGTTATGTGTAGATCCGATGTAGTCTTTACGAAAAACAAAAATGAAACTCTCTCATCTTCTTGACTTTTAAGCTTAATGCCATCTTACTAAATCACTCTACATGTAGCCTGCATGTAAACACCCTACACTCCACATGTAGCTCTGCAGCCATTCAGACTCCCTGTTTGCTGAGGTCTGTTGTGGTCATTGCCTCCATACAGTTTCTCCTCAGTTAAGCCAAACAAAAAAAAAAAAACTGTTGTGAAAAATATCACCAAAATTCTTTGAGAAATTAACATTATTAAAATATGACTGCAATCAAAAAACTAAAATGTCAAGCGTTTTGTGTTTAGTTTGGTTACTTAAGGATAGGGCTGGGTAGGGGTTAAGGTTGCAAACAGAGGCAGTCCGAATGGCTGTAGAGTGAATTAATAAGATGGCATTAAGCTTGTGGACGTGACGCGGGACAAACGTTGCTTGCTACTCAGAATCAGCAGCATGCATTGATTGTCACACGTTCCCAATTCGTCCATAAACCAGGAATCGCACGGTTTAGTAATTGTGTCTTTTGTAATTCTGTTCAGACATGCATGTCGAACGTCACTGAGCCATAATAATTGCCAAGGTCATTCCAGAAAAGGTATTAAATACCCAGAATATCGTTATTAGAAAGTTTATTATTATTATATATTATTTTACACCCGCAGGGGGCATATGTGAGTCTCGTACAGGACCGTTCAAAACGCAAAGAAATGTAATAAAGACCTCACAATAAGTGTTTTATGTGTCCCCATTAAACTGCATTCTGCATCCACATTTAAACCATTTTAAATCCCGAAAATCTTTTAAAATTTTAAGTTTTGACCTGCACAAATATGGCACCGGGGCAAACGTCACTTGGGTCACGTGCTGACGCAACAAAAATGGCGGCGCTGACATGAGGCTGGGGATGTTTGTTATTACTTATGGGGAATGTGTGAGGAGCGATAGTTAGGCTGTAGAAAAGTCGTATCTAGATCCTGGAAGCCGGAGAAAATAAAGTTCATACGCAGGTAATTTGAAGCCGTATGATTTTGTTACCTGGCAGTTAAAAGAAGTGTCTAAACATCCTGTTGTAAAGTAAAGTGTGATTTCGGATCTGTCGTTATTATGTGTTGCTTGAGATTTTTTACTGTCGGTGGGAAATGAATATCAATTTAAAATTTAAAGAAGAATGAAGCGTATGAAGAATGACGATCCAGGCTGATCTAATACTCGTCTGACGTGACTTTCATTGGTAGACTATAGACATAAATGCCTTACTAATTAAATACATATCTGTTTCTGCAGGTTGTTTATTTATATGTAAAGATAATAATAAAAAGTGATTAAACTGTACTAATTTGCATGATGATCCGTTAACAGAATGGACTTTAAAATCACAGATAAAGCTATTAAAAATCTGTCCACGTTCTTATTATCTCTATCAACACGTTCATGTTAAATCAGGGAGGATAATGCAGGTTATTTAGTGGTTTGTGGTATAAGGTGCTGTGTGTGTCGTTTTTGCTATGTCAGTCCACAAAGACAGCATGGCAGATGCAGGTAATCGGGACACCAGCCAGCCCCCCAGGATGCCAGTCGCCGCTGGCAGGGGGTCGCTGGTGGGCCGCAGGCTCCCGGTCACACTGTCCCCTGGGCGCCTCCCCTCCATGCGCTCCCGGGACCTCACCCTCGGAGGGGTGAAGAAGGTAGGTCACTCTCTGACGCTGCAGGTAGCGAGTATGGTCTGGTACCTTATTTGTCATTGTGTCAGTCAACCAAATTCTCAAACCTTTGTATAGATTTGCATATGGTATATAAAATGATAAAATATTGTATGAAAGATGCATTTAATACAGACATGTACGTTCTAAATTGTCTACAAGTATCATTTTTGTTGTTAATCAAAATCCTTGCTTGGTTATTGGTATATTTATTGGCCCACTCAGAGGTCTGTTTAACCTTGTTGTTTGTGCCATAGAAAACATTCACCCCAAACATCATTGGCCGAAAAATTAAGGAAGAGTAAGTACATTGTTTATAGTGATACTGTAATAGGCAATGCCATTAGTTCACAACATACAGCCATGGAAAAAAATAAGAGACTACTCCTTATTTTTACACGCATCTGCATTTTTAAATCCTGGTTTAATTGTGGTTTTGCTGGTAGAAGGTTACGCTGAGCAGCAGGTTTCTAAGACAGCAGTACACAAGAACAAGGTGAAGCAGGAGACACTGGGAATGAACAAAAACCAGCCAGGTAAAAGGCAGAAGCGACTTTCTAATAAGATATTGTCGTTAACTTATTCGACAGTTTCTCATGAATCGTACGATGACATCAAATGACCTTCAAGAGGAATGGGAAACATTAAATGCAGGTGTGAAGTGCACTGCTAGGACAGTTCATATCAGGGTTCTAGAAGCAGGACTGAAGTCCCATAAAGCAAGGAAGAAGCCCTTCATCAATGAGAAGCGAGGAAGAACCAGGCTGCAGTTTGCAAACTAAAATATATTATTCACAGACGCACACCCATGAATTGAGAAATGCCTGACAAAAAATTGTGCTGTGGTCTCTTAATTTTTTCCATGGCTTAATTTTTGTCGATTACTAACATCTGATATGAAAGGAAATTTTAAAGTGCTTTTTCATTCAGCTGTGGCATTGTAGGTATGTCTTGGCATGTGTATCTGGGATTTTCACACTGGCACATTAATAGAACAGAACAGTAAACCTATCATATAACTACATTAGTCCACATTATTAATTACTGACCACAGCCAAATCTACTGAACTCCCCCTCCCCATTTCCTTAGTATTTTTAAACATTGTAGGCAACATAACAGCCGTCTCCTATTGAACCTGAATGATAGCTTCAGGAAAGAATGGAGAGTACTTTTTCCTTCTACAGGCCGAAAGAGGAGGGGGGGCCAAAGAGGGGCCGGAGGGAGACGGACCGTGGCCGTCAGCGGGATGGGCGTGGCCGAGGCAGGGGCCGCCCAGAGGTCATTCAGTCCCATTCCATTTTTGAGCAGGGACCCGCAGAGATGGACTTAAAGAAGAGGGGTAAGATTTAGGGGCTCCTCTCTGTAAGGTTCGCAACCCGAGGGTGTGATTCTGTATTAATTCAAAATGTGAGTTTTTATAGCCACTAAAAGCAGCCATTGTGGTTTCACACAATCCAACATTTTGTTTTCCGTGAAGGTATAACTAACACTTTTAACCATTCCGCCACTTTGCTTGTGTTGTCTGGTCTAACAGCCAGTCTTAATTTAGGGGTTTCTGTCTGTGGTCTGCGTAGGTACGTGGGACGGGGAGAGGGACACTCCCTCCATGGGTCCCTCCAACATTATTAACATCAAGAAGGAGAAGCGGGAGACTGAGGAAGAGACCAAGGAGATACTGCGCATGCTGGACAAGGACAACGTGAGCTCCCCCCTCAACATGGCCGCCCCCTAACATACGCCTAACGTGATTTGACGGCCCTTTGCTTGGTATCTGACTGACAAAATGGTGGCAGTCCAGGTGCTGATGCGATCCCACTTGTGGTGCTTTTCCATTACCACCAAGAATCAAGCCTTACTAGGAAGTACAGCAGGGTTCCAGCTCACTTCCATTTTCCACTGCAGAAGGGTTTGAAGAGCGATGGTGAAATAAAACTAAAGACATTCTTATTTGCTGTTCACACAGCGTGCATCACGATTTACTATGCGCTAATTTTCGCTAGCATGTCTATGATAATCTTCATCTTATGTTAGCATCAAACACTAGCGGAATTAGCATTCGCTTGCGTAAATTTGCATTACGAATCCATTATCTTCAACCATTCTCTAGTACTTTTTTAAAGTAGGCTAAAAACTTTCAGGCTCCAATATTGGGAACGCATCAATACGTCGTGATGTGCGAGACTACTAATAATGAATTATATATAGAATATTCCCTTTTGTCCTTCCAATAATCCATGTGTACTGGTGCAGATCACGGAATCTCCGTACATTTTGACCAATCAGATTGTGGTGATGCGACCAGCTTGGTTCGGTCATGCTTTCGGCCCTGCTAGTAAGCAGGACCGTGTCATTGCGGCTCAGATAATTTACAGTGGGACACTGCTAGCTTGTGGTACTGCTCGGTTCTTAGTGGCTGTGGAAAAGCTCCATTGCTTTCCTCTCTCCTCCTACCTTAGTTCCTGGATGACCCTCGCCTGCATAATGACTTGAGGAGCTGTCCTGTTCAGCTGCCCCTGGCTGTGTCGGGTTGGACCTTCAGGGAGGACTCTGGTGAGGATGCTCAGGAGGCGGCTGTCAAACTCGAGGACCTGAAGAAGGAGCAGGAGGCCGATGACATGGATGTGGATGATGCTGTGCCTAAAGTAAAAGGTTGTCCATCTTAAGGGATATTTGTGTATGAAGAATGAATGGATATCCATGGAATCTTTCCTTCAAGGGAAAATTATCCCCACTTTTTATGTAAAAAATCATAATGAAAATACTGCAACTGTCTTGTTTGAAATTATTATTGGATTACAAATGCTGCCTTATGCTCCCAATCTGATTTTGATTTGGGACAATTCAGGATCGTGGTCCCTAGTTGATCAGATGCTCAACCCTGGCTAATTTCTCCTTACAGTGAAAGAGGAACCAGCCGAGATGCAGGATGTGAAGAAGCCTGAGGCCACCTTCAGGCCCCCGCGGCTTCCTGAGCCCCATCCGCTCCCCGTGCTGCTGGAAGCATGGAGCCAGTGCAAGGAGGACGAGCTGATCTTTGTGCAGCTTCCTGATTCGCTGCCTGGGCAGCCACCCACTCAGGAGGTCAAGCCAGCCAAGATAGAGGTGCAGTCAGAGGATGGACAGCCGATGCTCCAGAAGGTTGAGAACAGTGAGGTGTGTGGAACCACATTATTTAACAGTTTTGTGTGTGGATGTGTAGTTCTAGTATGCCCATCCATCCATCCATCCATCATGTTCTACAGACTGGATACCAGTTTAATAAAGGGCAGATGCCCATGCTCTCACACACTACATAATCATACACTACAGGTAATTTAGAGACGACAGTTAGCCTAACTGAAGGCCTTTGGTTTGCTGGGGGAAACTCGAGCACCCATAGGAACTCTGTGCAAGGCTGAAGAACATGCAAACACTAGAGGAGAAGCCGGATTCGAACCCCCACACCTCAGAGGTGTTAGGCCCCTGTGGTAAACTAGGAGCCTCCGTGCCCCCACCAAGTCTAAATGTGCGATTTAGCTGTTTGTGTGTGAATTCCACCTCATGGTGGGTAGGAGGAGCAGCAGGAAGACAACAGCTGCAGTCTGAAGGATCTGCACGAGGGTCTGGTGGGCCGGCTGCTGGTGCGAAAGTCCGGCCGAGTGCAGCTCATTCTCGGGCACATCACTCTGGACCTCGCCCTGGGAACTCCTTGCTCGTTCCTCCAGGTGAATCAACCGGAAAGTGTGTGCTTCTCAGGTTAAGCGTCTCTCTGCTGCACACACGCGCGTCACTGACGTCACCCTGACCTGCGACTCTCTCTCCCTGCCTCTCTAGGAGCTGGTGGCAGTCACGACAGGGGAGGGCAGGACCGGCGATATGACTGTGTTGGGCCACATCAAGCACAAGCTGGTCTGCTCACCAGACTTTGAAGACTTGCTGGTGAACAGGGCGTGAGGAGGACATCGCGTTTTATGTGGTTCCGAAGGGGAACCTGCTTGCGGTGGTTCCCTGTCCCTGTGACCGTCCACATCTACTGTGGGATTTGGCATGGGATTATTGGGCCCTTTATTCCTAGAGAATGGGGGGGGGGGTCTTTATCGGTTTGAACTTGTTTTACGAGTTAATCAGTCGCCTACTGAACAATGTAATGAATTATGCAACCAAAGTCAAAAGAACTGAGAGAATGTCTTTATTTCTTAAAGCAGCAGAATAATGATGGACTATAATTTAATATTCTCTTACCATAAAAGCAGGTAGTACGATTATTTTGAAATAAGAATGCTTTCTCAAGTCATTAAGGAGAGATTTGTGCCAAAATGCCATTCTTTGTTGCCTGATAAAGTGGTCTTAGTCCTTTGTGTCCCATAATGCCCTGGGATTGTTGAGGCATGGAGTACTTCTTATGTTATAAGATTACCCACACTACACTGGGGTTGCATATGCTGAGCTCTCCTGCCCCCAGCACTACTTGATGATCTGCTTTGAAGAATGGGACAGTTGCTCGGATGTAATCCGTAAGTGACCAGGTTTAAGTGTTGACTGGAACTAGAATATTTTTTAGTTTGAATGAATTTTGTTGTTAATAAAAAAAAAATCTGAGAAAATGTGTCCTTGTTCTTTTTAATTAATATTGTCCTGTGCAAAAAGCCTGATATTCTTCATTTATGATTGCATCACTTTGTGCTGTATGAATATCAGAGCACCCTGTGCCCTTTCATTTAGAAGTATATTTTAGTGATTTAATTTAGTTTTACTAAATTAACGCTGACTAATTTTATAAAAGCAGTTGTGCCTTTGAAGAAATGAGACAGTAAATGATGTTGGAAAAACAAAAGGTGTTTTGATCTGGCTAGAGGTGCGATGATGAGAAGAGTACAAATTTGGTTATTTGTTTTCATTTTCGCACTTTTCATCACCCTGTAAGTCAGCGCACGGGCCGCCTGCCCCGTGTCGTCCTTCGAACATCCCGCCGTTAGGTGTCGCCGGCGCGCCGCCCGCTCGCCCCCTTTTTGTTCATTTATTCCCTTATATATTAGTTCACGCCAGCTGCATGCGCCCTCCCAGCCCCGGAGGTTTGCGGTGCTCTGACTTGGCCGGGCGGCACGAGGGAAGCCGCTGGGCAGACAGGAGACCCTCGTAAACCGGTGACGGCGACGACAGCGGAACCCGGGTAAGTCCGTCCGAGGGCCTGTCACATTCTGACGGCTGCTGTCCGCCGAAGCGCGGCGGCGGCTCCCCTCAGTCAGCTAGCTACCCACGGATGTCTATTAAACAGCGACGCCCGCTTTCCTATCGTAAGCGAGGGGTGAACGCAAAGCTCTTCGGGGCCCTCCGGTCCTGCTGTGTCTTTTTCCTTAATTGGTAGTTATTTGCCGAGCTGTCCCTTTTGTTTAACACGTCGTTAGCGGATTACTTTGCCGGGGTGGGTGTTACGTTAGCATTACCACCCGAGTCGTCGATAGCTGAACGCTGTCTTTATCAGTTGGTAGATACGTCGAATATTATTCCACGGTAAATGAAGCGGTTAGCAAAAGCTGACTTTGCTTCTTAACTCGGAAACATCATTTTCTGTTATAAAAAAAAACTCCACGAATTTCAGTTTTTAATATCTGTTTATCAGTTGAATATAGAGCCGGGGTACGCCGTTCGCTTCCTTTACGGCTTTGTGTCCCAGCCCGAGGTCAGTTACCTCACGCTGAAATGTTTTGGTCTTGCCGACGTTCGCGCATCTTTAAACTCTTTTAACCTCCAGACTGTTCCGTTCAGGTGAACGAATTAACGAACAAATATTTGCCGGGTTGAATGGTCCACCGCTACACAGGCTCCTTGCCTTCATCCTACCACGTCTCAGTCTTTTGTTATTCGGGCCCCAGGAAGGTATGCGAAATTTATCTTTATTGGCAGTTCTTCACTTTCAGTTGTTCAATAGCTTTTTCTACCGATTAGCAGAGACCGCACATGTAGAGTGCACGCAATCGGCTTTTTTGCCCATTGGAAATCACCTTGAAATTTACCTGATTTTTGCGAGGAGTGAGTGGTTGTTGGCTGTTTTTCATTGTTTGTCATTATGTAGGAAAAATATTATATTCAGTGTCTTTTTTTTTCTCTTGTAGACTCTCGTCTTAAGTTGCTGTCTGTAACAGTTTGTCTTGGGGGGGAATAATAGGTTTATTGGTAGGACTTTTGGAAACCGTCATTTTTTTTTTGCACTCCCAGCGTTGACTCGTGGAAGAAGTGCTCTCCAGACAGATGTTTTGGATTTGACATTTTTCATGGGAGTGGAAAATAGGTCCTGTGTAGGATCTCTAGAGGGTCAATTTGGGAGTTGCTCACATCCCTCACTCGGCACAGGGTGTCTGTGTTATCTAAGGAATGTTTTTTTTTTTTGTTTTTTTTTTTGCATTCATAAACCCCTGCCCATTTTCTTTGGTACTAGCAGAATTATTTTAATTGCATAGCGAACCGTTTTATCTGAGATACTCTTGCATAATGTAAAGTGTTAGTTTATGAAGCTAGAAATTTAGCGGAAACTGTTTCAGTTACTTGCTCTGTTTATTTGTGTTTCAGCCTGTTGTTAATGAAACATGAGCTGAGGTGCAGACTTCTGTCTGCTTAAGGATAGTGCAAGAGTAGTCTGTGCTTCTGAAGTTAGGGGACAGTCTTCCAAACATATGCCGTACAATCAGTTGCTGCTAGAACATTTCCAGGCAGGCCAAAAAGCCAATATTTCACCTCTCTTTCATTCAGAGATACTGTATCACATTCTATAGACTGTTGCATCTGTTCCCACGAAGTCACGCCAGAAAACAGTGCTGGCTACAGTCAGTGTTTCTTCTCCCTGGCAATAATCAATGTTTTGCTTTTTTCCTTTCCTCAGGTAAAACGAAGCCTGGAAGGTTCCATCTTCTTTTTTTTTTTCTTCTTCAACTCCCTGTTTGCTCCCAGCTCCTTTCACGGCTTGACTGTTCTACTGATTCTCAGTTTTACGTGCAGCTGGTACTCGGGTGGGGGAACAGTCACCTTTAATACTCTGCTTTAACCTGCTCATCAATTACATGAACAAATCTAGAGATGGCACACATCGCATGGCAAGTTTTGAATGGGCATTTTTAGTTTTAAGGAAAAAGGAAGAAAATATCTCCAAAAAAACTCAACCTCCAAGACCTGCTGCAGAAAAGTAGGAAATAAATATCAGGGACCTCCAGCTGATGGGAGCAGCACTTGGAATGCTTGTCTCCATGGCAACAGCGTTCCATACTTCTGGGGGAAGGAACCTTGTGTCAGATACGTGTTTATGAAAGCTTCGGTCCACAGAAGATTAAGTAGACAGTGGTCGTAGAGGGTTTGTAAAAAGTGATTTTTCTGACTTGGTCTGGGCTACTTGGAAAATAAAGAATTCTTGCCTGTCAAGTGGAAAATTTTCCGTCAGCCAGGATGGGCTGGTTCCCTTCTCCTTTCGATAATTTGCTGTGCATGCTCCTGGGCATTTCCTTCACTGTGTGGTTCACCCTGCTGCTGGTCTTCATCATTGTGCCGGCCATCTTTGGCGTGTCATTTGGCATACGACGCCTGTGCATGAAGACACTGATTAAAATCTTCGAGGTAAGTGGCTGACTCGCTGCTTCCTGTTTTTTGAATACAGTATATCATGAATATCTGCATTTTCTGTGTTTTCAGGACAGGATTTCTTGCACATTAGTTATGATGGGGGTATGGGGTTCATTCTGATATCGATCTGCAAAAAAACAACCATTAGTCTTATGCGTCACATGTGCAGTTTAACTCATTGTTGATCATAGAACAAAATTCATGTAGTCTTTTGTTGTCATCTACTGTATTGTCCAACCCTTGTGCTAAAGGGTCACCCAGCAGGGCATATGTTTATTTGCTCTTCTCTGCCACCTGAAAACAGAGGCCGAGTGTTTTATTGTCAGAATATTTTTGTGATGGAATTAAGAGCCACAGCTGAGTGAAGCTAAAATTTATGGGCTATCAATCTGCATTGTGCATTAATGCTCTGTTTTCAGGTGGGATTTTGGGCAACCTAATTGAAATGCGTGTCAGTGGTGTGTGTGTTAATGAGACATACTGTCCAATGCTGCTTATTCAGAATATATGTTAAATTGTTAATTGGTAAAAAGGTTCTTCCACAATCTTATATTCTGTTAAATCTGGTTTACTTCAGGTCATTGACTCTGCTCTGTGCCCTGTGCCACCTGCTCCCCCCCCCCCCCACCAGCTTGACATGTGATATGACTGCTCCAAGCTTCTGTGGCCTATCCTGGAACATGGAGCCTATTTCCTTCCTGCTATGAGGAGCCCGTTAGCCATTCGAGGGGCATGCTCACAGGAAGCACAAATAGCACATCATCTCAGACTGCAGATTGCTGCCTAACCAGTTGGACGTAATGAACCATCTAGGTTTTTTTGGCAAGTTTTTGTCTTTAATGGACTGTTCATTTCACCTGTGTCATTTTGGCATTTTAGATACTTCCAGTTACCATCTCAATTAATGAATAGCAGCCTTGCTATAAGACAAATGTTTTCAGCTACATTTTCCTCTACTTATTTCAGCTACATTTTCCTCTACTTAATTCAACCTGAAGCTAATATAGGTATGCTGTTTACTACCAACCACAGACATGTGATGACTTTCTAGGAGCAGGGTAAAGCTTTGAATGATGAAGACCAGATTTAATGTCTAAATTGGGTGTGGGTGTGGGTGTGGCTGTGGCTGTGGCTGGGGGGGGGGGAGTGGGTAAAACCTGGAGGTGTTCTGAGTGTCAGGTGAGCAATGATCTGTTGTCCTCCCTCACCACCTCGTAAAAACATTCCAACATCAGTCCCAACATGCGTTGCTTGGGATGCAGCAGCAGTTGAAACCAGAGAAGGTCAGTGCTATGTTGCATCCACAGTGCTGGCTATTTGCCCCCTGGCAGCTCTCTTAAAGGCAAATGTGTGCAAAAGTTGAGTGGGTACATAGTGACCCAAATTAGCTTGTGCAAGAGATTGTGGAAATGAAACTGAAATTTTGTATTCCTTAATGGTAGTAGCAGTTTCATATAAGTTCTATTAGTTCTTGAGAAATCTTTAGTGGCTTCTGTAGTTTAGTGTTTCAAGGGGCTATATTCAACTTATTTTTGATGTTCCGTTTATCCTATTTAATTCTCTAGTTTGACATTTGCTTCTTATTGTGTTGTTGAGGTATCATGAACCAGAGCGGGTGCTGATAGCCGTTGGGTGGCAGTGGTTGCTAGAGTGACTGTCTTCTGACCAAGGCTGGAGGACATGTGAGGCAGGATGGTTTTGACGGCTGGACCAGCACTAGCATCATGTGAAGGATAGCTAGTTGATTAACAGAAAACAGAAGAGAAATAGCAATCATGGGTTACAGACATTAATCTGTGGTAATCAACTCATGTCTAAGCCCGGGGAATCAATCAGCAATGTGCATGTCTATCAGGGGTGCTTAGGGGTGTATTAAATTATTCTTGGGCTGACCAATGAAATTTCCTGAGAAATCAAGAGAGAGTTGTGTAAATCATGTAAACAGAAACGCTATTCTCAGGACTACCTTTGATCAAAAAAGGAAGAATAAGAGAAC